TGAAAGTTTTCTTTAAAAAAAAATTAATCGAAAATTATATGAGAATGCGTTCTTAAATTTTATCTGGGTGTCGAACAGTCATTTGAAAACCTTGGTCAGTCGAAATAAGGAGATACCAGAAAGCAGGGTTTATTTACACTGGGTGGCATACATTCATGGCTTACGAGTGTTTTGAATAGCAGAAAGAGTACGAGGAAAGTAAAAAATGCGAATCACGAATTCAAGGTGTCACCCGAGACGCCCAATTAAAGGCGCAGCTCGAAAACTTGGATTTCCGCCAATTTGAATAATTGAGAAGCTGCTTCGCGCGTTTTTGTGCAAAGTAATTGGCAACTCTCGTGTCGAGTTTGTTTTATCCATTCAACATCTGCCCACCGTACGATATGCAAATAAACAAAAAATTGGCACGAAACAAAAATAAACTGCGGACCACCGCGGATCGGACGAGCCAAAAAAAATGTGCTCGAAAACTCGCTAGTAAAGCAACAAATCCTGACCTTCGAAGCTGCTCTTCTTTTTTTGTTTTCAAGAGGGCACTAGACCTATTATTATTGGTGTGAAGACAAAGAAGAAACCCACTGGTGACACATTTGTGAGTGAGCACCAAGAATTGAGAGCATTTATGGCAGATGGATGGTAGGGATAATATATCATCGCACAAGTTGCGCAACAATAATGATCTTTAATGAGAGGAAATCAAAGAAAAATGTTTTATTTCACAAATAAAAAAAACGCATTTTTTATGGCGTGGCGCGAGTGTTTATCTAATTGGCAGATGGTGTGAAAAGAAAAGAAAAAACGTGCGAGAAGAATTAAACATTTGAAGTAGGCCGCAAATGTAAATCCTTTTTGCAAACTACCCCCCATTTGATAACGAAAAAACAGTTAGTTACCAATTAACACATCGTCGCAAAATAAAAGATGAGACGCAAAATGATTCAAGGACGCGCGCAAAAAGCCGCAAATGATACCAGAATTATCAAAAATGATTCGCAAGTTTTTTTTTTCACGCGCTTTATGCCTTTTTTGGTGTGGCGGTCGGAAGAGTGACGGCAAACAACAATCAAATAGAACAATATATGTGAGTAATATTTGCGGTTGAAAAAAAAAACGCATTTGACTTTGTATGGTATGAAATTACAGTGATGATAATGTTTCAAAGTTGAGAAGACAAGTTGTACAACTCATCGGATTCGAAATGGGCGAATTTGAATGAAAAAAAAAACAGAATTTTCACTTGATTTTCGAACTCAACGATCATGCGATAATGAGTTGTTCAAATATAAAAATCTAGAAATTTTGGTTTCCAGAAAATTCGAGAAAAATATGAAATTTAAAATTTATAGAAAAAATTTCGGAATTGCGTAAATATTTTTAAGAAAATGCTCACATGATTAAAAAAAAAAGAAAAATTAATAAAATAAAATTCTAACAAAAAACATCGAAATAAAAATGTCACTAAAATTGAATTGATGGTCTTCTATCTTACATCTCGATGGATCAAAGTGTTGGGCTGCGGGGAAGAGCTTTTTTTTGAGGGGGAAATGGTCCGACACAAATCAACAAAGGTGTGCTCGAAACACCCATCTGCTGTAACGCGACACCATCAATCGCCAAATTGGGTCAACCAAGTAATTGAAATCGAATATTTTTAGCACAATTGAAGTATTTGCAGCAAAAAGTGTTTGAGTTTTGATTTGTCGAGGGTTCTATAAAACACTTGCGATTGATCTCGAGTTTCAAGACCAAATCGAATGTTTGAAAAATAATTGTGCGTGTGTGTTGAGAAATAAGAATGTAGTCGAATAATTACGGCAAATCGTTTTTCTTGAGTTCAAAATCGAAAGTGCGGCGCCAGCGCGTTCGAAGGACCCCCCACGGCGAAAATAAGCGTACGCAGAAGCAGTAGTGGATGTGTAACGGAATTGGGGAATAAAATCAAACACATTCATATTTTGTCGAGTCAAGACCTCCAAGTAACTAATCCTGCATAAGCCGATTGTAATTTTCACGGACCCGCGTTTTGTCACAGAGTTGTCACAAAAATGAGCAACGAAAGCGCGTGGTGAATGGAAGGACGGGATCGGTCGAATTATACGAGCTGCGCGGCGGTCGCTTTTGATGGTGCCGCCGTCACGCTGACAACGTCGGGATGCGCCTTTTTCACGCCGAGACGCCAACAATTTACGAGCAGAAACATCGCGCTTTTTTTTTTCTCGACGCTTAATAATACAAAATGGTCGAAAATGAATAATGAATGCACGTCGGTCGTGATTCTTCATGATATGCCGCTCCCATATTGCGATGCGACGAACAATAAAAAAGCAAGTGGAGGAAAACGAAACGGTTTCCGAACGCGGTCGTGCTTTTCATATTTGACAATCGATAGCAGCAGAAAATTGCGAAATGTTGGTAATATTGGAAATTCCATAACATTGAGAAACAGAAGCATTCAAATGACCACGCATAGACGAATTGAAGACTATCAAGCAGAACTTCTCATATGATGATGATTTTAACCTACATATAACATGGGTAATAGTATTATTTCTTATTACAATAATCAAATTCGAAAAGAATGCCCATGATACGATGCCATCTTTTTCTTAACAAATTCAACAATCGTGCGTCTCCTAAATCCTAAAGATACCACCGAAACTCGAATAATTTCAATGAAATTTCAATTTGAATTGCCGCGAAAGAAACGTTTTTTGTAGACTGTCAATATTTTTGGGATTTTCTCGCAAATTATTTTCATTTTTTGGCCTTTGATCTTGATTTATTAACATTTGAAGTTTGAAAGATCTGAAAAATAGAAATAAATGGTAGCACACGGAAAAGCGTGCAAACACCGTGACGCAAATATCACAGAAAAAAAACCGATGATTTTTTCGCAGTATAATCGACGTTTTTTTTTTAAATCTGGTTTCACTATTGGACATATAATGAAGGACATATAATAAGGATTTTAAACGGCCCATCGAGTTTGGGGGGACAAATATTAAATCAAACAAATCAAAACCGTTGCGATATTGTACACCTGCAGCTGCTAAATTTGGTACAATTTTTACAACCTTTGAGTGGGAATAAAATATTCGAATATAAGCATCTGGAACGACATCTAGACGAATATTGAATAGCACTTTTAGGAAGTGTTCCCTGGGGTCCTTTACAATGATTTACGCTTTTCCGAACAAATGGATTTATACATCGTTTGAATTATTTTGCTTTTCAAACAAACTGAAATTCTATTCAAATTTCAACAATTAAATTAATTTGAAACTAAAAATGTGAATAGAAAATAAGGTGATGACTAAATATGGGAAAAGTTACAAAATGGAAAAAAATTACTATTCATTTTTTTCTCTTCATGGAATTCATTTTCCCACTAATAATGGATTCAAAAATTATCATAAATTTTTGCAAGAGAATCGTTATGAAATTTATTACGATTTCGGTTGCAAATATATACGTACTAACATTATCAATGCGTTCGTTTATTCGTGACAACGAATGAAACAAAACGAGTCGTAAAAACGTAGCATCGTATACGCGAATTTTATCTTGAATAAAATCTTGAACATGGATTACGACGTGCAGCACCAACTCTTCGACGCCCAAAAATGGTGGGCATATGCGGTCGCTCATCATACGTCGTCTCGACCAAGATAATAATAGCAGTTGAAATGTGTCAATCGGGCTCAACGAGATGTTTCGCTATTTCGAAATCCGGAATGATCGTTTTGGGACCAGCATTACTGCATTTGATTTTAATCAAAACCATTTCAGAAAGAAGAACGAACATCGGAAGGACGAGTTTAAACAAAGACTTTCAAAAAAAAAAACTGCTAAGTTTATAAGGAAGAATCTATTCACTGAAATCGTATTGCAAAAAATTCCGTTTCTTTTAATATTTGGAAGGTTAGAAATGTTTATATGTAACATTAAAAACTTTAAATTTGATTTAAAAAGCTACCAATTTCTCAACTCGAATTTAAAACAATTTTTTCTAGCCATTAGTTACCCAATTCATTGCCTCACGTTTATCTGGAAATAAATGAAAAAAAAATTAATTTGATTCTCCATTGTCGACTACAATAATATAATTATAACATAGATGAGGAATATTTATCGAGAAGAAGAAGAAGAAGAAAAAAAAAAGAAGGATCGTAGGATAGAAAAAGATAAAATTCTTGGACACAAAACGGCTATTTGCATGAATAAACATTGTGTGACAGAAGGCGTAAACAAATAAAACCGTATCGATATAATAAATATAAATAAAATAACATAAAAAATGGACGGAGATAAAACGCAACCGAATATGGGCCTGACACGGGGCCGAACCGGGAGAAACGAGAGAGGAACTCAATGCGACAATGTGTGTCTGACGAGACGAAACACACAGGAAGCGCGCTCCGTCGAGCCATACCGACAGCGCCGGCCGACTCAACAAGAGCTCATTTAAATTCAGCGATAACCGCCACCGACTCGACGGCGACAAATTAACCAAGCGTTTCGACGTCTTCAACAATGCACGGCTCGTTTTGATCTCGCTTCTCGACAACGCAACATCTTCATTTTGGAAATTTGTGTGGCGGGGTGAGACTAATCGACTTCACTGTCAAGAAAGACGAGATGAATGTTGGGAAAACCTGAACAATACCTGAATTCACGTTCTAGATTTCCGTTTCGGCTCAGAATTTTGGGCATTGATCTTGGATCACTAGCTAAATGAAGTGAAATTGAATCAAAATGAATTGACCTCGAATCAACACTAGAGGACAGTGTGAAAATTCGGCATCCGGGACAACAAAGAGCGTCTGAAAACTTACAGCGAGAACTGTCTAGCAGTTTCAGTTCCGTGGCCTTCGCGCGTCGCACTCTCTCACCTTTCCACTCTTCTTCGTGGATTTCTTGCGCGTCGTTGTGTAACAATCGGAGACTATTTAAACGCCGCCACTCGCTTCTTTCCATCATCGGACAGTCGTCGTCGAATCATGGAGGACAAACGGAGAGTCATCGAGAGAGAAGTCAACAGTCTGCGATCGGTTGCATTCGTCGGAATTTCGGTGACGTGAGTTCATTATTATTTTTTTTAATCCGTTCAATTTCATTGGTCTGTTTTTATTATTGCAGAATCGCCGCCGCTCTCGTTGCTATTGTTGCGATTCCGGCGTTCTACAGCTACGTGCAGCACGTTCAATCAAAGCTTCAAACCGAAGTCGAATTCTGTAGACATCGATCTCACGGACTCCATGAGCAGTACGATGTTGTACAAGAGGTGACCGGCGTCGAGTCCATGTTCGTCGTTAAGCGTGATGTTCATAGAGGTATCCGATTCTCCGCTATGTACAATTCTTTCCAATACCTTATCTTAAGGAATGAGCAAGAGACGCGTGAACCGCAAGAAGGTCCGCAGACAGGCTGAGTGCTGCTCATGCGGAGTTGGAGCTTCTGGACCAGCCGGGCCACCAGGACAGCCAGGAAGAGACGGAAACGACGGACCAGCAGGACAGCCAGGAGTTCCAGGACAAGACGGTTCAGAGGACTACGATGGATCGCAGCAATCCAACTTCTGCTTTGAGTGCATGGACGCCCCAGCCGGACCACCAGGCGCACCAGGAAAACCAGGTCGCCCAGGAAACGACGGACTACCGGGACAATCAGGCGGTGCGGCTCTTCCGGGACCACCAGGACCACCAGGACCACCTGGACCACCAGGACAGGACGGACACCCAGGAAACGACGGACTTCCAGGACAAGACGGAGAGACACGCGAAGTTCCAGGAGCCCCAGGAGCTCCAGGACAACCAGGATCACAAGGACAACCAGGACCAGCCGGCCCAGACGGACATCCGGGAGGTCCAGGACCAGCCGGACAACCAGGAGGCCCAGGTGCTCCAGGAAACGACGGTCAACCAGGAGCCCCAGGAGCTCCAGGAGACGACGGCGAAGATGGAGAATCGGGATCATCGGGAAGCTGTGACCACTGCCCACCACCACGAACTGCGCCAGGCTATTAGAATTTGTCTTTCACTCGCTACTTGTACCTTTAATTCGCTAGTCATGACTCGACATTCTTGAACATAAAAACTTTAAGACTCTCTTCTTATTATTAGGAATAATTTATTCGTTTCAAAAATAAGAAGAAAGACAAGACAAGAAAACGAAAACATAACACCTGATCAATTTTCAAACCGTATGACGATAATATATAGAATATGGACGACCGGAAGAGCCCATTCAATCATAATCAGAGATTGTCGAATAAATATGATTGTCGGTGTCAAGGCTCACATTAAGAACTTGTGATAATTTTTGGGCAAGACGTTGCTCGCAATTTTGCTCGTTTGAGGCCAAAAGCTGAAAATCGAAACGGATTGTACGATGGCAAGAAAATGCAAGAAAACCTGAGTGATTCGAATTCCGTTTCCTCGAACCCACGAGAGAAGCTCGGATAAGGCTAGCGAGGAACCCTTACAAGACGAAACATCCTGAAATAACTGATTGTATAAAACAAAAAAGGAATGGCATAAACTATTACATTTGACATGTTAACTAATTCATTTTGCCATTGATCCATTGAAAGTGGCGGACTGTTCTTGACACGTCGGAAGAGATCTACAGAAAGTGGGCGGAGTCTTGCAACATCTTTTGCGAATAGAAGACGAGATGATGGCGAATGGGCTCCAAGAACAGGTTCAGAAAATGAGAAACAATCCATCTGTTGAGTGAATTGTTTCATTTTTAAATCAAATATTGCGCATTACCAATGTCTGAGCAACTGTGCTCAAATTAGCATCCATAGAAATTGAATATGGCTCGTCGAATATCAACTGTGGATTTCGCACAAAATTCGCCCAGACCCTCAACACATAGCTATTCGCTTTCCATTGTTGGCAAATATTCTCCGAGACCTATGAAACGCAATGAATTACTCGAAATAAATCACCCGGTGTACCGCATTAACCGCCGCTTCTCTATCGAGAAGATCGAAGAAATGCTTTAATACTGGCGGGAATTCGACCTCATGCATATATAGAACGGATTCCAAAAAATCTTCAACGTAAGATTGCACGGTGCCCTTACTGAAATTAAACATTTCGATTGAAATTTTCTCAATTTTTTTTCAAATTTCTTCTAATTTTCTCTTCACTGCTCCATTATTATTTTACCTAGTAAGAAGACGAGTGAGATACACTTCGGGAATACTTCTCGGAACATTATCATTGTATTTTTGCTTTTTGAACGACATTGTTCCCGACGAAGGATTCGAAAGATGATAATACTTGGAAGATGAGTATGTCGGAGAGCAACGATCAAGCGATGACCATGATGATTGACCCGAGTCGGCTAATGAGTCTGAATAATTCAATAGCCTTCATAACAAATTGTCTTTGATCTACTTCTGTAGTTGCTCTTCAAATACATTGCTTGAGTCACTTGAATAATCGATCCATTTGTGATCTCATAATCGGCCACAGTTTGAAGTTTGATTGGCGATTTACGGGGGTGAATCGTGTTCGATTCTGGCAAATCTGACAGCTTCACATCTCCACGTCTCGGACATTTCAACACTAAAATTGTTTCATCGAAAACGAATGATATCCAAATATTATTATATTACCAAGATCAATTTGATTTATTTTGGGCCTTTGCGAGTATGGCGTCTCTCGATAGGCGGCACTCAGTATTTTTTGCTTCAGTTGACAAATTGCGTCACATTCATGAATCTCGACGTCGATTATCTGATCACTTCCATCGATCGGAATCACACAAATTGTCTGAAACATTTTTACCTTAAAATGTCTTCCAGCCGAACAAACCAATGAATTCGTCTCAACAGATTCTCGCAGAAGCCTTGATTCATTAATTGTGTACCGTGCATCTCCGGTGACCGCATCGACTGGACCTTTCTCGGTTTGATATTGAAGCGCCTAAATTTGCGCTCATTCTTTTATTAAACAATCAATACAAGAAAACCTACTTTATATAGATAGAAAAACGTGTTCATTTGCGATGTAATATGCGGATAAAGACACATGCTGATCCATTTTGCCACCATTTTCTCCACAACCGAATCGCTGTTTCGGAAAAGCAATTCGCTTCGTTTTGCCTTTAAATAACGATTTGCATTGGATTTCCCTAACCTTTGAAATTACATGAACAGCTTTCGCGATGTGAGCTCGTAATAGATCGATCACAATTTCAGTGCAGTACGAGAAATTTCGGAGAAGAACTGTTATCAGAAGACTTGCGAGCATCGACTTTTCCGACGCTGACATTGACGTGTCGGATTCAGCAGCTTCGACAATCTGGAGGCAATACAATTTGTAACTTATTCTCACCAAAAAAAGAAAGTATTTCGAACCGTAAATATAAAAGCCTTGAAGCTCAGTAGGGCATGAAACTGAGCAAGAGTCACAGGCAGAGTTCGCGTTAATGTTGGAGCAACGGTGAGTGTGCTGTCCGACCACAAAAGATTTTCAACGAAATGTGGGAATTGTAGGAATTCCGGCGTTGAATTCTTTGCTTTCGGCGACATGACGAGATTGGTTTGAAGTTCGGCGAACGCCTGTTTGCACTCCTTCCGCACGTTATTTTCCAAACTTTCCATTTGCAATTGAATTTTTCGATATTCTCGCTCTCTTTCTTGTCGACGACGCTTCCAAATTGTGCCAATTATTGCCAAAAATACAATGATTGTAACTAGTAAACTCATAATCTAAATTATTTCTTTCAATCTATTTTGAATAGCGTTCGATTACCAAAAACGAGAATTTCGAAGTGAACGTCTGATCAGCATATTCGATGAGCCCTAATTCGGTGCGAATTGATCCAACAATTACAGTAACCAATGGCAGAAATCCGTGTATCGATACACCTGTATATGAGTAGCTTTCTCAAGAGTATTAATTTATTTCAGACCTCTCTCGTCCGTTGCTTTTGGCTGTTTCGCAGGTCCTGAGCAAACAAGCTGTTTCACATCAACCAGCGTTACGTAGCACCTTTCAGATCCAATGAAAATCTGGAAGAGTTGAAATATTTTATTATAACTATTATAAAATTTTTGGAACCTTATAATCACTTGGCTCGGCTGCTAAATTCAAATTATGTCCATCCAAAATGAGTGGCTGCTCTCCTTGATGTAATCGAATACCATTAAACGGTATCAGTTGCGGATTTGGATAGACACTCATCATGATTCGACGGCCCAAATTTAGAACTGATGTGACATTGTCCATTACGAAACCAACAGGAAGTCTAGAATTATTGTCGTTACACATTTGAAAATCATTTTTTTCGGCAAACCTTGAATACTCAAACCGCCGATTCGAAGTCTCAATAACTTTTGGAGTCAAACATGACATTAAAGTCGAGTTATAAATGTGACAAGGCGAAAAATCCGAAATAATTTCGAATGGCGGATTTGCCGAAGAAATGAGCAACATTTGTGCAGACAAAATGGAATCAAAATATTGCCCCTGCAAAAAAAAATACAACTAGCAAATGCGTATGTGGGCGACATTTTCAACCTGAACACTAATCATTTTTCCGCCCGATTTGAATGTGGACAATGGCGAAACTGATTGAATAATGGGATCGGGACGATATTCAAACTTCTGGTCCAGTGTCACAATGGCTTGATCAACGGCAACTACAACATTTGCTGTTTTTCCTATTACAGCTCCTGCTGGAGTAATACAACTGATCGACGATGAGGAATTCGCCTAAAATTAAACCAATATATGATCTGAAATTATGAGAATTTTTGACTTTTGTGATAATGCATGGCTGTCCTCCAATAGTAACACTCGCATTAGTTCCAGCATTCAAATGTTGACCATAAAGAGTTATCTAAACTATTCAGTTTCACTCCTCATTATCCATTTTCTTTTTTCTACTTTTGTGCCACCAGAGATTGGTCCGAACAGCGGATACGCCGAGAAAACGGAGATTTTCACAAATGAGTAGTAAGTGGCAGATTCAGCAACAGTCATAGTAACACGACCTACGGACACTTTCACTGGCCCCGACGAAATTCCCTTAAACAATTTACATTTTCTTGTTTTCCTTGTTAGTTTAACAATTACATACTAACATAATTAGATACATATGAGTACTTCCTGCTTGTAGTAAAAAAAAACGATCTAATAAATCGTACCTTATCCACTTTACACTCGATCATTGATGAAACCTTGTATCGCATCAATTCACATCTCGAACCAGCCACATATATTTTACCGCGCACGTCTTCTTCGGACATTCCCAAATCTGTTCCATCGATTCGAACGATTGTACCACCCTCAACGGGACCACTGTTTGGCTCAAAATTGAGAATTCTTGGGGGATCGCAGACTGTGACTCTTGAATTATGACACTCGTGCGAACATTTTCCGGAGCACCATCCACATGCAAGCGAAGGTGGAAGGGCGAGACAACTTGAGCAATCAGAAGCCAGAGAAGCACACGAGTATAATGAAACTGAATGCCGAAAATTGGGTACATTCTAAAAACTGAATTCTTACTATTCGCAATATCTACAATATGATCATTTGATGACAAAGTAATGGGAACCACTAGATTCGCAGAGTTGTGTTGGTTTTCCGTAAAGAGTTGCATTTTCTCACAACGAATCGAATCGGAAGCAATTTTCGCTTTTGCCGATATCACCTCAAACAATAAAATATTGAAATCAGTTTGCGCCAGCGAAAAAACCTTTCCGGTAACATTGATAGAGCAAAAGTGTTGCGAGTTTCGATCTAACTGTCTCAAATTCTCAGCTTCGATTACAATTTCCTGTTCGGATCCCATTGCGATCGGAACTTTCATCGGTAACAAACGAACGCAAGATTTCATTTTTTGCTGAAAAAAATTATTGGACTTCCTTGAATTTCTTTTGAAATTTCGCACCGTTTTACAAGAGTTTTGAGAAACGCATTTGTTTAATCCAATGCACCATTCGCATTTCCATTCCGATGAAACGCATTGTGAGCAACTAAAATAGATTACTCGAGTATTTTTCTAAAAATTGAATTCTTACGTTTTCGATTGGCCACAATCATAAACGGTGATGTTGTGAGAAATAATCGGATTTTTTGACAATGTTGTTATAAGTGATATCTCGAACTGTTTGGGACTGGAAATCGGAACTGAAATGCAGGAAACGCCCGTCGAAGTCCAATCCGCTTTTGTTCGAGCATTTGTTGCTCCAAATTGGCATTGATAGTTCTATACAAAAAAGAGTAAATTATTATAACGTCTAAAGTGTTTTAAAAACTAAATATGAAAACAAAACGTACAAATCCGTTGGGTGGAGGAAGGTGTCGTATATTGAAAGCGATCGGAACCGACTGGTTCACTGAAATGGAGCTCGGAACTGGTTCGCCGTTTGTGACAGGGCACACGGTAGACTGAACATTTTAATGTCAATAACTCCCGAATGCAACGTTATTTTTACCACTGGAACAGCACATTTCGATGATGTTGTGCATGCTTGAACCGGATGACACCATTGACAAAGAGGATCCGCAGAAACTAGGCATTCCGAGCATGAACTGTGTTGACTACAAGTCGACAACTCTTCTCGAACAAGCTGCAAATTAATTGAACTCAACCAATTCTGTGCTTGTAGTCTTCTCACCCCAAAAGGAAATTGCGCAATTACAAAGTCGCCATTCCTTTTCATTCGAAGCACTTCGGATCCCGTGTTTCCATCTCCGATGTCTTTCCTACCATATTCCTCTAATCGATCATCGTCCCATTTTAACTGAAACATTTGACCTTGGGTTTATTTTTTTCGAAAAAAAAAGAGTGAAAAAAGATTCATCAAATAGGCATGTGTTTTGATTGACATTTCACATCGTGATAAGCCGCCCACCATGACTATTTGAGACGAGGTGGTCCCCGCAAATACGGCTTTCCGGTCAATTGCAAGAAACGAAATGACATTTCCAATGATTTCTCGCGAAGCCATTTCGACGAGCTCAATTGAGCCGCCAACTCCAAGCTCGCAACTGTCCTCATCTAATGGAATATGGGCCTTCTGAAGAATCGAGGTTGTTTTATTTGAAAATATTCACGATGCCTACATTGACACATTTCGCATCTCTGCCGATGTGTGGCAATCTGATCGAATCTGTTCCACTTCGGCATCGGTCAACATTGTACCTAAATTCAATATACTAGGCGGTTAGCGATCAATCCTTATTTGGGTCTACTAGATGTATTGGTCAACTGCTTACCAAAATGTCAGTTTGATTCGTTGCATCGAATACACACATATCGAAGTTTTTCGAGAGTTTGGGGAACTTGAATAAGCTGTCACAAGTTTCTCATCTAAAAAAAACCAATAATCGTTCAAATTTCGTTAAGATTTTACCGCTTTTTACTACCGCACTTAAATAAGGAAACAAGGAATTGTCTTCACCCCGACATTGCAGCTCAATTTCCGAGTACGATACGAATCTAAAATGGAAACGAATTTTTGCGAAAGCGCGTATTAACCCAAATTACTTCGTATCATTCCGGCAAAATCTGATAAGTCGCGTCGTCGGCGTCGCACGCGAATCTTTCGATGTCATTGTGGCGACGAGGAATACGAAATGCTCGTGGGTGAACGAATAAATGTATTTAAATGAGGATCGATATGATGTTCGCTGAAATACAGCAGCTTCTCCGTCGAGATTTCCTATAATTAATTGATTTAAAAGATTTTCGAATATCTGGAAACCAACCGGCATTCTCAATCATCAAATTTGGAAGTGTTCTCATTGCAACCGATGGAAACGGATCTCGATATGGCGAGTCTCTGGTCGGACTTGCTCCGACAATAAGCCGATTTCCGGTGACAATGGAAACAGTAGAAGCTTCTTTCGCGTTTGCAGCCACCGGAACACTTGATTTGCTAATAAGAGAGAGTTTCGAAGTGTAAATCGAGCACGATCCTAAATCAATTAAACGAATGATAAATCATTTTGATCGGAATACCTAATTGCACAGATCCGCAGTGAAGAATTTGCCCATTTTGCAGCTGGTGCAAGATTTTTGTGTGAACATCGGTTTTTTGTGGACGATATTCTCTTTAAAATCACGTATTTATGATTTGAAAATAATTGATTTCTACGTAAAGCAATACTGAAATATACAACATTTTTTTATATAATTCAATAGACAAATTTGGCTGAAAAAAAATCAAATATCGCCTCTTAGTCGAATGGAATTTTTTTTTCGTTTTGCTATATGTATAATTCATGAAAATGTGATTTCTTATTTACCTCAAACACGATTTTCCGTCAACACTACACCAGGGTGAATCGTCAATTGGTCCAATCGTTAGATTATGCGAAACGGCGAAATTCTCACATCCAATAGTTTGCAGCTGGTTGACCGTCGCCAATATTATCTGCAATCAATTCAATTCGCTCGTCCAATTCAAAAGTGCAATCGCATTCCGCTGCAGCAACAAGGCTCTTGAGTAGCGCAAAAAGTCAGAACCAACAACAATTCCCATAAAAAATAATATGTTCGCGGTTTTGTTGGTTCTTGTTGTGGACGACGCCCGCTGGTTCCACTCATCCCCTCGCTTGTTCAAATCGCGCCGAAATGAAAAAGAAGTGCTCACGGTGTGTCCGTCCCTCGAGACAATAAAATCGTCAATCTGAGCCGTCGTATGAAATATTTGGTGTTTTTGTGGTGGCGGCGAAGCCTCAACACTCGCCGCCAACACCAATATGGTGCAAAATGTTAGAAGTGGGCACCAATACGCGACGGTGACCATGACGACATTCTGCAAGAAAAATGAATCGCAATTTCAGAATGATGGCATTAAAAAAAATTGAGTAGAGAAATCGATATGAATAATAATTGCATCAGAAAACCGGCGGAACGGAAATTGTCGACCCACGCCGGCGGCCCATCCATCAATAGTTGTTGCTTTATGCGCAATTAAATTGCACCCTCATTTAGCAATGTTTTGAGAGGCCAAAACAGTGTTTTTATAAACAATTTCCGGGCCATAAACGCATGAAACAAAAGATGAAATGGAATGAGAAATAGGTGGGATTTGGAGTAGAAAAATTGCTGAGAAAATCATCATTCGCCATAGCATTCGTCGGGGTATTTTGACGAAGAAAAAACAACACGTTCAGTTTTTTTTAATCAAATAAATATGTATGTAGAAAACTGAATAATGAATAATAATATCTTGAAATATTTGTTTTCCTTAAACGGAATGTATAAGATCGGGGCTCTCATAAAAATACGCCTTCAAAAAAAAAAGACAACAATTATTTTGTCACGGAAATCATAAAAATTCTCATTGACCTCAATGTCATTTTTCAAAAAAAAAAAACAAAAAAAGTGAGTATAAGGATGCGGCAAATGACAACGAAATGCGTAGGAATGAGAAGGACGACAGAGGCTTTTGGCCAGAAATGGACGGACGAGAATGTGGGCGGAGTTTAATAGGGAGACCAAAAAGCGACGGAACGATATTGAAATGAAATGGACCATATAATTATCATAATTCATAGACATAAATCGATTGATTTGAAACGAGTCAATTAAACACTGCGAATAAATTACACATTTTGCTGAACCTGCGCCGGTGATTAATCATTTGTTGGGACAACTCTCGCAGGTTCCGTCGACGGCACACCTCAGCGCCGAGCACCTGTCTGGCTGCTCGCTAATCAACAACACCATCTCCTTGTTGGCGATAATGAGCAATTAGTGCGCTACCTGAGCGGGACGCTCTTAATGAGCATCAAGGTACAAGTAAATCCGGGCTGGATTAGTGCGAAAATGAGAAATACGAGTAGGTGGAGGACAAGGAGCTTGGTGAGGAAAGGGAGGAGCAAAGAGGTGAAGGAGGAGGAGGAAGAGGAGCATGAGGAAAGGTCAATGGAGGATCATGCCAACCTTGATGCACTAATAATCAAATATTACATGCATACCGGTTATTATACAGTTATTGAAAATATATGGAATAGAATTAATAGAAATCAAATGCAAAGTTTAAACAAATGTTTTAATTTTCTAAAAACTTTACCATAAATAGTGTTATTGATTTTGAGCTTTATTTTTCATTTTTTTCATATCGCAATTAACTCGAACATTAAAATTTCCAAAATTACATCTTCTATTTTTGTTTTCCCGAGATCATCAACGCAATTTATTTAGCAATTAACTTAAATATTAAAATTATTTTTCGTGATTCTTTGACAGTACATAGTTAAATTGTCTTCTACCTAGAAATTGATTTTAAAAAATACATAAAAGTTTAATTTACATTCGCAAGCGCGATATTAAACAAAACATCCATAAACTCCAGATGTAGTGGAATTTATGCAAGTAAATGGCAATTTGGACTCAAAAAATCACATCATTTTTCGAAATTAATTCATACGTAAATGTCATAAATAAATATGAGCATTTTTTGCTGAGAAAAGAAAGATCTCAAATTACACGAAAAACAACCGAATATATTGAAGAGGCTTCAGGAATCGATTTAATAGGTGTTCTAGTAGAATTCACATAATATTTCAATGTTTTTCGATCCCCAAGTGAAACATTCTAATGCCGTATTGTTCGCAACGATATGCACATTATATATACATATTATATATACATATATATGACGTCACGATTAAAATATTTTACGAACATGTATTCTAGGCTCCTTAGGGCTACTGTTGACGAAATTTGATGCATCTCGATTAATTTTTAAGAAAACTACAGAAATCAAACCAGTAGGTAGCATTGGTTTGCGTCCAACGAAATGCTTCTTACAAAAATCTTGTTCAGGTGTAAAATTGGACATCAAGTTGCTCACACAAAATGCAATATTGGCTACCGTAACGGCGAAATAATGTATGTCGTGCAATCGAAAAATGAAAAGAAATCCATGTCCTTTGCAAAAACTAAAAATATTTTCGTGTAAAACAAATAAAAATGAATTGAATGTATCGCATGATTCGCACTAATGCGATGTTCCCGCACGCCACGCTTTCTTTTTTTGTGAACTTTTTGGGGTGTTTACAGTTTTTTTTTGTTTTCGCAATGAAATCAAAAATTAGAAACATCTAATAAAACAAATAATGTAATAGAATGTGGACGACAACATAGTGATTCGCAATTTATGCGCAAAAATGCAAATTCAGTGTCGAACCTCGACGGTCGGCTGTAATTTGGTTGTTACAACCGACGAGGAGCCGTTTGGTTGCACAACTTGTCAGCCCGCAATAAATATAACAATAATCAAATCATAAAAACCGAACAAATGGGTGGAAGGGTCGACGTCGTTCGAATACAAATATTTATGGGCTCCTGCGGTCGCCTGGAGAGGATGAGCATAAAACTGTCAACGCTAGTGAAATCGGATAATTGCGCGATGCCGAGCTAATTCATAATAGGCGACTACTATTATTATTATTGTTTGGTCCTACAATGAATGCACCGTATATATGTAAATAAGCGGACAGAAGACTGCTGACAGTGTGGACAGCTGTTCGGTGAACAAAATGGTCCCACAGCAAATACGCAGTTACCTGATATTCAAAAAAACTTTTCACACAAACAGTTTTCGAAACCAAAACATTTAAAAAGGAGAAAGATTGCGGAAATTCAAAATAGAATTTGAAAAAATTCACGGGGGGGGGTTTGCGCGCAATGATGACTCAGAAAAGGTACGCAATTATTTCACCAATTTTTTTAAAACAATTATTTAAATATTCTAATAAAGATTTGTTTTGTAGAAATAAAAAGAAAATATTTATGAATATAAAAAATTCAGGAATCAAGCAACTATGTAAACTCTTGATAACATTTTGTCATTTCCTGAAAACGACATGGGTGAATGGGTTTCAAATGAGCAATTCTTTTGCCAAACAAATCTGAGCGAGGTGAGATTGAGACAGATAGATAAGCAATTCAATTAACCGCTACTCAACTCGGAATTTCTTCTTTTTCTTCTTTTTTGCATGTTTCTTGGCAAAATGAAGTGAAAGAGACCAGTACAACGAGGGAAGATGCAAATTGAAACATCATCGAAATACACAATACTCATTAGGACGTCAAAAAGGCATGGAAGCATGAAGGAGAGGAAGTGCGCACGGACCTCCGAGTTGTTCTTACTTAATTACGCGCGAAATTTGAGTATGATACACTCATTGGATTTGATCTGAAAATAAATAAGAAAAACTCGAACAATAATACACCTGCTCGTTTATCATTTATGCGTTTCCATAGAAACTAAGAAAATGTTATAAAAATTGTACTGTGAAAATGCGTTTCGCAAAAACTAATACTTATCCCCAACACAACCAGCAATTGCCAATATTTTTCGAGGAACCGTGAGAAATTGCTTGTCAAATATTCGCGATTAGCTCATTATTTTCCAGAAAATATATTTTCATGAGCATCCGCGTTCCGAAAAGAATCACTAATTGTTCGTTAACGTCGCTTCGTGAAAAGAAAACAAAAATATGGACGTTGGGACCATTATAAATGTGTATAGGAATACTCATTAGATGTTGAAGAAGACGACGTTCTTGAAACATTTTAAATGAGCCATGCCTGAGAGTTTTGACGAGAATTTGTTATAAACTCGTGATTAAATATTTAGGCGAATTTCGCACATTTCTCGAATATTTTACTAATTTGAATTATTAATTATCTGATATATTTATATTGAGATAAAAACGAAACTGGAAGCACTTTGAATTCACTTTTTAGGTGGTGTCGAATTTTTAATACGTTGTATTATAATTCATATCAAATTGGAAGAAATAACCAGTTTGATCAAAACGCGAGAATGAGAAATAGCAATTCAGTTAATTGAAAATTTGCAAAATCAAATAAGTAATCCAACCATGTGTTTATATTTGGAATTGAATTCGCCGTTGTAATCCGCGACTCATCCCGCCAAAACGCGGCTCATCGGAGCGGACCGCCTCCGGTCGGCCGGTGTCGCTCATCCGACGAACACTTTGGCGGATAAGATGACCGAGCGAAAATGTAAATGAATGTGGGATCGAAACCCCAGTTTTGGCGAATTACTTATTGTGTTGGCGAGCAAAGGAGCACGAAAAAAAAGAGACAAGCGAGGCAAGAAGAAGAAGAAGAAGAATAACCGAGACGAGGCCGCCAACAAAACTCGCAACACCGCCAAACAGAGTTTTGAGCAAGAACAACACAAAAACCACCAAATTTTGCATCGGACACCACCCGAAAAAAATGGGCCTAATTGAATGTTTATTAAGTCGGGCGGCCCTCATCAAAAATGCAAAGGTTGGCGCTGTCAACGGCTATTAGTATTCAAGACCTTCAGGACAAAAAAAAAACGGGCCGGCCCGGGCCGCGGGTGATGCAAGACGGTGGTCAGGCGAAAAACTCACATAATGAAAGGTTGGTGAACACCTGCCAAAATTTAATATATTTTTCTCGTAAACTTAATTTCAAACATAGTTTATTGGCACGATAAATTGCGGGTAAAAACCACATATCGGGACTAGCATGGAATGAGGTGGCTACATTCTACGAGTCGTTAATCGAAACGAATGAGGCAGAGCTTGCGTTTGTATCTGAATCACACGATTATTCTCATTTTCTTAATACTTCTAATAAGCTACGTATTTTGTTTTTCGGTCTTATATTTGCTCGCATCATTTATTCTTTTTTTAAAATCATTTTTTTTATTTCTTCTCAATTATGAACTTCTTGATCTCCCTCCCTCTCTCTCTCTCTCTCTCTCTCAAAGAAATCTACAAAATTTTCGAAATGTATCTATTTTCCAATTTTGAAACTCGTTTCTCTTCGTTTCGTTCCGGTCAGTATATCGAAATTTTCGCATCCATTTAATTGCGATTCGATGCTTAATTTCCGAAATTTTTGCGCGTCTTCTTCCTTCCATCTTCAACGACATCAATTCGAAAATTACAAAAGGCAATATTGGATGTGAAACAAGCGCAAGACGATGTCCGAAATTAAAATTGTGTCTTCCTTCTGCGGCTGGAAGCATTGGTCCACTTGAGAGCCGCCACCTCTCGAGTATTTCAATCACAATGTGAGAATATTGGAGGGAAAGAGGCAGAGGAGCACAAAGGGAAAAAGAGAATGGCGAACAGACTGACCCTTTTGTTTATGTAATATATTCCATTTAAGGAGGAGACGAGCATCGCCAACGAAAACACAATGAGAATGAAACGAAAAGTGCCGCTGGATGGGTTTCGAGCAAATAATTAAACGGTGCAAATTATTCTGAGAAGAATTAATTGAAAGGAATAAAAAATAATGAATATTTATAACTTGTAGGTTTCTGAATTAATGATGTGCAATTGCACTATGAAAGGATATTTTTCCGTTTTTATAAAATACACTATAGAAAACTACTCAAGGTTGTGAAACCAAGAAAGGAATTTCATGATGAAATAGCAACAATTTTATTTTGAAAAAAGTAGAAATATAACGGAATCGAAAATGTTGACTATAAAAAGGAAAAAGTATGAAGTCCATTAAAATTTTGACGAAAATTGGTTGGAAGGGCGTAAAGTTATAAAGGGTAATGACCTAATTCGATTCCTAGGTATGTATTTCACATTAATGTACACAAATCCCGAAAACGATAAGTAACAACAATGGAAAAGAAAGAGAAGGGCGTATTCATTCTGGAATAAGGACAATGGCGGCCAAAAGGGTATGATGAGGAGTGTGCCGAGAAGCTAATGAGACGAGTACGCTGATTGGAGACGATGGCACAGCATTCGACTCGACCCCCACACACCCAATTTGTTTGATGATTTTAGCCGATTCGACGAAACACCGATCCACATATGTCGCTTCGAAATATTCCATTAGACAACACCAAACTATATGTATAAGCTATTAACATATAGACATATAGAATAGTGAAGAGCGGAAAGAAAAACGACGAGACTCTGTTGTATTAAAAAAAACATAAAACTGTTGTTGAAAAATGATGCACTCTGGTGCTGAAAAGCTTCGTGAATCAGCTTTATTCCAGAAGGAAAGTTAGCAGCGGGCTGGTGAAATTCGCGGTCGAGCCGAAACAATTCGGGCGATTGACTTTTTTTTTTTAATTTTGACAAAGAGATTCCAGGTTTGTAGCCAGACAAACCTGATTAGTTGGGTCTCAAGAAAAATGTGGCAACTCTTTGAGTCTTCTGAATTGGTCACTCATCTATCGATTCCTATTATTCAAATTCAACGCGATCGCGACGAAATTTGGTACGGTAGTTTTCCCCCGCGCAATTAAAACAATTCAAATTTGTGGAAAAAAAAAACATCTCAGAGTTTTTTTTTAAGTTGTGGGACACTCGATTTTCAACGAAAAAAATTGAGATAAGACGTTTAAAAACGATTTTGACTAACCGGTTTGAGAATTAAACAAACAGGAATTTTTGAGGAAAATTATCGACGACTGATTTGAAAAATGCTTTTTGAACACACATGAGTGGAAACTCGGATGTTCGGTGTTGAGTGATCAGACAACAATGTATTAAAACACAACAAAGGAGGGATAATATGTTCGGCCATATAAGTCGTAAACTGGCGCCGCTGAGGTGAGAGGCGATAAAATAAGATAAACCGAAAGATGCGATCCCCCGTCTAGCCGTATACAGTAATACAACAGAAATTGTTTAAAAGTGAGGGTTTTGAGACGAAAAACGCTCATTGCAATGAATCTAATTATGAGTAGCAGAAACGATGTGTTTGGCATCACTTCGTTGTTGTCGATGCTCATCACCACTTTCGTTTTCTATTCATTTCTTTCGACAACGTCGTCGCAGTATTTTCCTGGACTTAATTGAGGCTAAACTCTTTTAAACACAAAATAATGGAAAACGAAGATGAAGAAAAAAAAGTGAACAACCTAGTGCAAACATACTATGAACAACCCAATTATGGAATGTTTGTTTAGCAGAAGAAGCAGAAAAAATGAACGGAACTATAGTCATATTTATTATATTGAAGACCCGTTTGAAATCGGAGAAAATATTTGAACTAGGAAATTCAAGGAATCTTCAAATATGGATTCCCAAATTTCTTTTTTTTGTGATATTACGTCGAATGAAATTTGCTTGAGTTAAATAAACAGTTTAGACAAAATTCTATCGAAAGTAGCCAATTTAATAATAAATTAATCGCAATAAGAGAGAATCTTCGGCGATGAATGGGCCCAATTAGGCATTCCAACATCTCACCGAACCGTCCAATCTGGCCATTTTTTCGCCGTTGTTTGTCGCAAGGTCCGCACCACAATTGCACCAATATATCACACCACCCAATCTGTCGCCGTTTCGCAAAATTTCGCGCATTGAGTGACATACGCCACCAATGACGAGAATATCAATTGACAATACACATCAAATGGCGTTTGAAAACGTTCATTTTTAAATATACTCATTTTTGCCAATCTCCAAAAAAAAGGAAAAAGGTGGAAAAGGGGCAAAAACAATAATAAAAAGAAAAGAAACTAAAATATCACATGAAATATCACAGATGCATATACATAAAGTAAATAACTTACTTAAAAGAAAAAGGGAAAATGCGTATATGGTGTGAAAATCATGGATCTTTGTGTAAAAAAAATGAAAACACGATTGGAATCGCTTTCGAAATTCAATTTTTTTCAATTGCTCCAAAAATGTTTTCAGGGACAAATGAAAGTTATTAATAAGGAGTTTTAAATTGAACTCTTTCAAGTTAATAATTATAATTATTATATTAGAGGCACATACAGGTGGATGAATGGAACTAACTGCACACGCCGACAATTTATAAACGCGTGCGCTTTTGTTGTACAGCTAATTTTTAATTGTTTTTAAATTAATGTTGGATCTAAAATGTGAATATTTTGTACAAATTTCGCATGAGTAATGTGTTGGGAATGGTACAGATACAAAAGGATAGCGGGTTAGAGTAAATCGCATGGTAATCATACTTCAGTTGTACCAGTCGTATTTAGCTGCGACTTCCATACATTCTTCATCACCTAAACCTTCTCAAGAATTTTCATCTCTATTAATAAAAAAAAAGCTTACAAATTGGGACAATGTGGTTCAACTTAGTTGCCGAATAAGAAGGAGCGAAATATCCCAAAACTCTATTCGTCAAAACTTTCTCAGCCGGAACTGGAATCGGCGCAGGCGTTGGAGTTGGAGAACCTGAAAAGTAAAACTTCAAAATAAAAGAAAGAAAGTAATTTGAAACCTGGTGTCACACTTCTGTCCGACGCCTCAAGATCGCTCAATTGCCCATCATCAGATTCTGAAGACGACCGTGTGTTGGTTGGAAGAATTCCAAGCGACGATTGCGAGATCGGAGTGAGCATAACTCCGTCGTTGATCTCATAATCAGACTTAACCGAAGAATCACTCGAACTTCCAGACAAAGTTTCACTGATAACATTTTCGCAGACCTCTCTCACAATATTCTTGAGATTGGAGCGATTGAGCTTCTAAAAGAGGAAACAGTTTTTAGTTCATTGAAGTTTTCGAAGAAAAAAATTGAAAATTATAATACCTTTGATATCGATTTGTTAACAATTTGGTCGATGTGGATCCGTTCAAGTTGAGACTTCTTCTCAAGCTGAGCTGATAGAATCTCATTAATTCGCTTTTCAGCAAAATATTTCCATTTGTAATACGAAAGCTGGGCTTCAACTTCGGTTAGTCTTCTTTTGGACATGACAACTTCAGAAGCGCAGTTAGATTCGACCTTCATCGTTTTCTGCAAAACAAACAAAATAATAACAAGGTAGGAGAAGGCAAGGAGCAGGATCGACAATGAATGCGAATGAATGCGAATGATTCTATGCGAGATTGCGTTAGTCGTTTTTTTGGGGGCGGGCCTTACGTGCATTGCTGCGACGCATGCTCCTGGGAACATTATACAAAACATAAAGGATTAGACATATCACTTCTGTTGGCGCCTTTTCAAAAATGTGTCGTGGAATGATGCAGTGACAATTCACACATTTTTTGGCAGATAAGACGTGCCAATTCGCATTGTCTCTTTGTTCTTGCCATAAAATTGTTGTGCGAACGACAACACATTGGGGTTTTATGTGAATTAGAAACAAAATAAAAGATAAAAAATGGCAAATACTTCATTGAGATTTTTTACAATTAAAACAAAAAAACTGGCAGCAGAGATTATTTCGAAATTCGTCGCGGTAAATTTTTTTGATCAATAGCCCTACAGTAACCAAATCGTGACAGGATATTTAAAACGATTTACCACTGCACCTTCAATCGTTACAAAAATTCTGCCAGAAATTTTCTTGAAAATTTTTTGAGGGGTCTCCTTGTATAAAATAAATAAATTTCTTTTCTTTTTTTTTCTTTTATTTCAAGGTTTGCAATATTATACAAGAGCGCTAATTTTTATATTTGTTGAACTAAAATAAATCCAGTTTTCCAATGTTTTTCCCTAGTATTTAAATATTAGCATTTATTTCTTCTCGGGAGAGTCCGAGTTTGCGCAGACTTCCAGCAGTCTCTTATAGGAAATTGCTTCTCTGGTAACTCAAAACCAATCGTATCCGACAAAATTCGGCTCCAGAATTAACCTTATCCGATTGGAAATTCTACGGATAAGATTGTAAAATTGTCGTATCCGATTGGTTTTTTTGGGTATTTTCGTATCCGATTGGTAATTTGTCGTATCCGATTAGATTTTCTTCGAATCCGATTGGTAATTATTCGAATACGTTTTGTTTTAATATTTCAATTCGAATCGGATTCGACAATAAACCAATCTTATCCGTAGAATTACCAATCGGATACGAAAATACCCAAAAATCTAATCGGATACGACAATTTTACAATCTTATCCGTAGAATTTCCAATCGGATAAGGTTAATTCTAGAGCCGAATTTTGTCGAATACGATTGGTTTTGAGTAGAAACATTTGAGCAAACTTCAACTCTGGTAAATCAAAACCAATCGTATTCGACAAAATTCGGCTCTAGAATTAACCTTATCCGATTGGAAATTCTGCGGATAAGATTGTAAAATTGTCGTATCCGATTGGTAATTTGTCGTATCCGATTGGTAATTCTACGGATAAGATTGGTTTTTTGTCGCATCCGATTCGAATTGAACCATTAAAACAACACGGGTTCGAATAATTACCAATCGGATTCGTCGAAAATCTAATCGGATACGACAAATTACCAATCGGATACGAAAATACCCAAAAAACCAATCGGATACGACAATTTTACAATCTTATCCGCAGAATTTCCAATCGGATAAGGTTAATTCTAGAGCCGAATTTTGTCGAATACGATTGGTTTTGATTTACCAGAGAAGGCTCTCTGCATAGTCGGAACATACCTTCAACAGAGTTTGCCCAAATCTTCCGCAGACTGCGCAGCTTCTTACGGTGAAACTGGGAAAATGACAAATATTGATTAAAAGTGGATGAAAAACGGTTCAAACTATAGAAGTATCTATTTTTCATCCATTTTTTAACAACTTTTGTCCTTTTCCCAGTTGCAATTTATAAATAGATACTATTAAAGTCTGAATCATTTTTCATTCACATTTAATCCATTTTTGTCTTTTTCCTAGTTGCAGTGTTATATGAGTCTGTTGAAAGACTGCGCAAACTTTCCCGAGTTGTAATCACGGAGTTCACAAATTTCTTCATTAGCCTCATTCATTGGAAAACGATGTTCATGTTGTTCATAATAGGGATATTTCGTAATTTGCATTATTCTGCGTCTTAACCCGCATGGCAACGTGTAATAACACGAGTTTTCTGTTGTGCAATTCTCTTTTCGCTACTCGCTATTTCTCTCATTTGCCCGTTGTTTAGCGTGCGCTTCGCAAAAACGTTCTCGTCTATTCTTGAATTTTTCACAATTTTTTATCATTTACTAATAAAACAACGTGAATTAAATCAAATAATTCATATTAGTATTATTAAAGTCATCCGCAAGTGTTTCCTCTGAGAAAGAAAAGTTTCCAACAGCTATCGTTGTTTGCAGAAATGATTGACCGATATTATATCAGTCTAATAATATGGATATCACTGGTACTATTCACTGTAATTCTGGAAACAAGCGGTAAAATTTAATCTGTAATTTTTTTCTTTTAATGGACTATTTTCAGCTGCTTCTGATCGCGTCAAATTGCGAGATGTTAGCGCATTAACGCTATACAAAGGAAAATGGACTACTGGTAATGAACCTTTTCATTATTTTTGAAGTAAATATGTCAAATTATTTTTTAGGAAGAAGATCATCTCCGACATTGCAACTAAAGTGTATCGGAGGATCTGCGAAAGGTGCCTATGAACCAAAAGTAATGTATATCGTGCAATTTCACCACATTTTAATTTAATCAGGTTGTGCAATGTTCAAATCAAGGATTTGATGGTACAGACGTTCAATGGAGATGTGATGCTGATCTTCCACATGACATGGAATTCGGAGCGGTAAGAAAAACCAAAAAAAGAAAGAAAGCTATTGCCATCTTATCAATTTTCCGTAAATTTTTCGTTTGCTACTGATTATTTTCGCTAATTAAATAATTGGCAAAACTAAATGCCACTTTCGAAGAATTGAAAAGAAAGTTTAAAAGATCATAATATTTTTTCAGATCACCGTATCTTGCGAAGGTTATGATTACCCAGACGATCCATATATTCTCAAAGGATCTTGTGGAGTAGGTTAACAGTTGAGGAAGAACTGAAATAACCGAATTTCAGCTTGAATACGAACTCGATTACAACAGCGGCAGTGGTAAACGTTCTCTTTCTCGATCAACGTAACATTAATAGGAGTTATAATAAATAATATATAATATTTCAGCAAAACAGACCCATGGGACACTTTTTCCACATTTGTTGTTGTCGCGTTTATTCTATTTGTTATTTACACGATGTATAGCAATTGGAATAGCAATGGGACCAGCAATTATCGCCCTGGTGGTGGTCCTGGTGGTGGTGGCGGCGGCGGTGGAGGGCCTGGCGGATATCCAGGAGCACCACCTCCGTATGATGACACCAACAACGGCAAACCACCTCCGTACGGATTCAATACAGGAAGGTAAACACGTTTACTTTGAACTGATAAACGTCACAAAAAAAGAAATATTTCGATCCATAACATTAATTTTTAAAATTTTAGCTATTCCGGCAGTTCGAGCTGTTCAGGAAATGCGGGTGGAGCAAATGCTGGTGGGGGAGGTGGATTTTGGACTGGAGCAGGTCTCGGCGCGATCGGCGCATATTTAGCGTCGAATTATTTGAATGGAGGGTTAGTGATTTGTTATTTAAATTTTATAAAACCATGGCATTTAAAGATATAATGGTTATGGATATGCTCGTCCAAGAAGACGTTTTATGGAAGACACTGGGTTTGCTACTTCTGATTCCTACTATTCTGGTCCGTCTACTTCAACTAGATCATCCTCAGGTTTTTTTAAGCTGATAAAAAATAATTATGAATTATATTTCAGGATACGGAGGCACAACACGTCGTTGAATATTTGTGTATGTTTGATAGAATTCGGGTAAAAACTGATCCAAATTGTTCTTAATTAACTGTTTAGATCAAAACAATATTTATTAATAAATTGCGCTAATAGTTCTGTATATACAAGTAATAAATTAACAAGCACATATGACTGTCTATACCCTCTTCATGTAGTCGGTGCACTGAATCATGCAAGATGTATCCTGAAATATACAAGATTAAATTTATTTGTCTATGTTTGTGCATACTTTTGAAATGTCAGTTAGAAGATATTTGTGCGTCAGTTTCTCGCAACTATCAACTTTTGTCGGATTGCAAGCAATCTAAAATAATGAAGATATAATTGGACACTCAATTATCGTATTTACTCCTTCTTTCGTACACGTGCAGGTTACACACGGTGTCATATGTACAGAGTCGCCAAGTGCAACAGTTCTCCCATTCAATTCGCAGTTATCTGAATATGAGAAATTCCAAAATCATATAACATTCAATGCTTACTTCTCTCCTTCCACAAAGAGAGATCGACTTGTGGAATATCAGCGCACGAAACTTGAGCATTTCTAAAGAAATTTGAAAAATGAACTCAAAAACTAAATAACAAGTGCTCTTCTTACGTCAAATCATCGGTCACATCGAAAACGTTGGGCTGAATTGTCTTCAAATATTTGCTGTTCGAGCAGAAAATCGAAGCCAATTTAATTTTTCGGATCTCATTTAATTGTGCTGAAAGAAACACAAACCGATTTAATTCTCTCAGAATTCCGAAATACCGGGAGTAAATTTTGCAGCGCTATTGTCGTTCTCGTAATAGAAGCGATCGCATCGTTTGAGTCTTCCGAATTGTTCAGCAATAATGCACGACATTGTCGGTCCAAGCTGAAATACGCGAATTTCATTGAAATCGATTAACCTGTGGGCTACCAAGGCTCCTTTCAATGCTCTTTCACTAATTAATCCTGGGAATAAATCGATATCATCTACGGACTCATACAATGATTGAAGAATATTGATATTATCGTTGTCCATTTCTTTCTATAGTTCGGATTAATGCATTTTTTTTCAGTCTGAATTGACAGAAAGTACCTTCAAATCTTCGAATCTCTTTGCTCTTCCCAATCCGCAAAACTCACGGAAATCATTATATGGCTGAACTCCGTGATCACGGGCACGAAGAATGTTCAAGACTAAATCACATCAAACATAATTGATTAATGATAGCAAATTAACGAACCGACTAAATCCATTCCACTTGTTTTTTCTCCTCGACGCATAAAGAGATGGTTTCTGACAGCGTCTGTGATATGCCGATCGAATGCCATCGACGGAGTACCAAGAAGTCCCATAAGCATTGCATCTAATCCGCCTTTGTCTTTCTCGTATAATGGTCCAACATGTCCAAAATGATTGGCCAAATCAACTGGTTCACTCATATTCCTTAAATGATTCCAAATTGTTGCGGTTAGAATACGAAAAACGATTGTTACTTGAAATTATAATTCATTCTTGGAAACATTCTACGGATCAGAGTATGTCCGAAACGGAAAGCTGCAGTAGCGAACGGTTGCGAGATAGAAGCATCGCATGTGTCATCGTATCCTATTGACAAAAAAAGAATTAGACAGAGAATGGTCTGGAAGAAGCGAAACCTGTGAAATATCCATTTTTCTTCGGCACAAGATTCTGCTCATTTAGCAGATCGAGACCAACAATTTTCGGCAAAAATTCAGCAAATGTTATGTGTTGCATTTCAGCAACAAGAATTCGGCGAGTTTCCTTAAAATTCAGATAATCTCAAGCTAAATTTGGTTAAAAATATACCTCAAATACAGTATCGTCATTCCAGTGTGGATTCAATGCCGAAAGATGCATAGCAATTCGGTTATGTTCGCGGAGGAAGAATGTGTGCATTACAGTTAGTCCTGGCTGATGTGAGTTTCTAGAAAAAATGAATTTTTATTGTTATTATTATTATTTGTTTCAATTAATTATTTTTTCAATAATGGGAACTCACCTTTCATCTCCCGCTACGAAACAAGGCATACGATCCTTGGCTGATCGGCAGTCTTTCTCTTGATTTCCTTGAGGAAGCATCATCTGTCCATGTCCGAAATCGGTAAAGTTTAAAAGGCCTCGCGTGAACAGTCTCAACGCCTTCGCTTCGCATTTCGTCGATCCATAGATGGCCGAACCGTCGACGTAGGCAGTGAGCTGAATGTTATTTTAGTTTGAGTTCAGACATTTAAATGATCTACTTGATTCAGTTGATTACGGTATCCAAGATTCAATTGGCCAAGAAGAGACCTCGCAAATGGGAGACATCTTGGTTCGCCATTTGGATAGTGCGTTGGGAAGAATGGATCATCAGATTCGACTCGAATCGGCATGCAATGAACGGAAATCTTTTCAGGAGAATCGCATCGTGTGCAATTCAAAATCTCATCGTTTGGTCCTCTGGCGACCGGTGAATGAGTAAGCTCATGATCGAGAAGCTGGCCGAACTGCATGACCATGTGAGTGAACTTGACATGGGAAACATCTTTGTCTTCACACACTCGGTTAGAAATCTGTAACAAATGAGCTACTGCACAAAATTTGCTGATTAAAATATTCTACTCTTCGAGGATTTGGCAGATTGTTTCCAGATTTCGCACGAATTCTTGGAACATCAAATCCGTCGTCATAAACCGGCGGGAGAATATGTCTCAGAGGGGCGAATGAGTTGCCATATTCAGGATATTTGAGATTGTTACACCAGCCGGAGAATGTTCGATAACGAGTGGTGTGATCACAGGGAAGCATCTTTGGAATGCATTCTTCAACCGAAGCTTGACCATCTTCCGATAGGAACGCAGTGTAATTGTTCACAAATGAACCGACATCGATATCCGGCAAAATTTTTTGAAGCGTCGGAACATCGAGATTCGGAAGCTTTTCGTCTTCATTTAGTCCCTCTCTGGAAAATATCAATGTTTCATTTCAACCGTTCGATTGGTTTTGAACCCTTTGATGAGTAATTTTGTAGTTTCAAGTAGTAGAGCTGAGATTTGAGAAACCTGTTTGGCTCCTTTCTTAGCCCTCATCATGTTCGAATAGGCGAATAATGGATCACCGCGATTGAAGTGTCCTTGGTCTAAACATTTGCAAATTATAACGAACGCTAAACCAATTTTCCTCACTGTGTTTTATATTTGAAATTTCTCGTTTTTCCTGATCCTTTAAATTCTTCTTGGCCAAATGAATCACCTGAAATCATTGAATTCTGCTTATTTTTCCCTTTAATCCCCTTTCGCCAAAATGTGTTTTTTTAATGATGAAGTTGTACTTTTTCAATAGTCTCCTGCCTAATTGGGAACACCGGTTTGCCTTCTGAATCGCGCCATTCGTTGAAATCTGGCGCAGCAAGAACCGTCGAATTGCACGAAATTGGCATGTTGCTGGAGAACAAAATCAATCACAAAACCCGTCGGTAAACGACAAAATCGCCTACTCGAAAATATCCTCTTTGAAGAAAACATTCTTTTGAATGCGACGAATATCGATATTTGAGCAGATGATCTCGGCGAGTTTCGTATTGCGAATCTCCATTAATTGCGACTCGGTGAATCCCGATTCAGCGAAATAGTTTTCATACCAAAAACGATCGGCACGTTTCGCCTGTAGTTTTTGGAATGTTTTCAATCAAAAAAACTCGAATTAAATAAATACTCTTTGCATTTGTTTTCCGATAATGCAAGCAATTGTTGGTCCGACGAGTGATCCTTTGAGCGGTTTCTCGGCGAGAACACCAATGAGCAAGTCAATGTCTTCAACTCTTTGGTAAACCGCGCTAAGATGCTCGAATTTCACTTCAGGAAGGAGAATATCGTGAAGGTCACTGAATGATGAGATCTGTAACGATTCAATTACCATTTTTTAAGTTTTCCGTTTGAAACGTACTCTTCCCAAACCACAACTTGTCCGAATTGTTGTATATCCGGGAATTCCGTGATCTCTTCCTTGTTTCAATGCAATCGATATGAGATCCAATCCAATTTCTGTGTTATCTTTCAAAAACCCGTTTTTGATTTCATCGTTCACACGAAGAGAAGGCTTCAAAATGCTCGAACTCAACAAATGGCGGATTGTTGGAACTGGTCCCTGCTCGTAAATTCTTCCTGGGTTATTGAAGTCGGTGAACAGGCGATCCGCGGGTAACAAAGCCCAGAAGTAGTATGGAATGGTGACAGCGAATTCATTGAAAACCGTTGCTTCGAGGCTCATTTCATAGTTCGAGTCAAATCCAGCCGAACGCAAACTCAGACCGTAGTTTCTGTAAGATTTCAGAATGCCTCAAATAAAATGCTCATTTTTTTGTTACTTCATATTCTCATTTCCAATCAAAATTGGCAGGAACTCGTTGTAAGTGATGTGCTGAATCTGAGCTGAAACGATTTTTCGGGCTTCTTCGAATAATTTGTCGTCTGTCCAATGCCGATTCATCGTTCGCAGAATATCAGTCAATCGGTTGTGATGGCGAATGAAGACGGTATGAAGTGCAGCGATTCCGGGAAGAATATTGACTTGATCCGTTCCTGATAAGGCGCATCTTTAAATATAATACATTGATCAGATTCAAAAATATTCGACACCTAGAATGAGCCGCTTGGCATTGCAATGTGCTATCGATAGCCGGCAATTCTCCTACACTTCCCGCAGTTCTCAGTTGTCCTGAAAAACGAAGCATTTGATTCTGTCCATAATTTGAATTGATTACCATTTCGGAAAGTTCGTAATTGTTTCGTTTTTTCAAGGCTCGATCCATAGATAAAAGATGCGTCGAGATATGCGGAAGCAAAGTTTCCTTGCTCGCGTGGGCCTAGTTTGCAAGATTCGCGAGGCGCAATTATCGAACGAGCATGTGGAATACAACTGAGTCGAGATCTTAAAAATACGATATCTGAATAAAATGAGATAAGACTGGAAACCGAAAAGTTAGATCAGCCGCAGGAATTTCGATTGGATCGCATTCGGTGTGATTGAAACCCCGCTTGCAACACGGAAGGGCCGATGAGAAGCCTTCATTGACAGCTTGGAATGGTATCACATTCACCATATCGGAACCAATAATCTGCATCCAATGAGCCAACATTGTGCTCACTTGTGTGTGCTCCTAAGAAAATGATCTCATGCCTATTTTTATTGTTCAAAATTTAAAATTGCGCAGCGCCTTGTGAATTCAATTTATTCCAGACTCATCCTAGAAGATTTCAATTTGCTAAAAAATGATTGTAGAAATGATAATTCAGAAAATCCCGCTCCTTGATTTTTGATGAACAAAGATGCGCGAGGATAATACAGTTTCTGTGATGGTCATTTCCAGTTCGCCACACTCTCACATTACAACTAATCATCAGCGAAAGTCGTGAAGAGGGGAAGAATATGAAGAAGAAAAAAAAAAACGAAGGCGCCGCGAATTACACGAATAATTGGCAGAATACCTGTCCGCGAGGTGAAAATAGGGTTAGCGATAGTCCGCGAACCGACGGCAGCGGCTTGTTGGTGGCGCGAGCAGCCCGTGGATCAGAGATTCCGTCCGCATAGTCCGGGCGAACGATCCGCGATAATGGAGTGTGCGATGCTCCCCATTCAGGATGAGCCACATTATTGCAGATTCCAGAGAAAGATCTGAATTACACACATTATGGCAGTGGTTTTTCTTATTGCGCGTCACGCAGTGACCGTTGCATTAAAAATCGAATTGATACGACTTAATCGCAAAAGTGAAATCGACGCGCTTATCTGATCAAGTGGATTGCGCAACATTGTGAATGGCAGACCAAAACGAAAAAAAAACAGGAAAAAGCTGTTCATACCGGTAATTCGTGGCGAAACAATGATCGATCGTCGGAATCGGGCACGTGGAAATCAAGGAGGAAATCTTGTGTGGTAAAATGCCATATCGCAATTCGCGTTCACGAAGACCTAATCTGAAATTTTTTGTGAAGTAGAATCATGTAGTTCAAGAAAGTGAAGAAATTTCGCTTACGCAGTCAATCTTTTAGTCATTGCCAATGAGGTGAAGGCTGATCGACTCCGATCCGACGCCTTCTTGTCGGCTTTGTGAATGCGTGTGTACTGCGAAGTGCTCGTTGACAATGGATGCCCCGAGTATTGGAAGGCCGAATCGCGGAAATCGAACGCTTTTTCGATTTCATAACTGGCTTCTTTTGCAGCAACGAAAAGAAGACCATCAGGTATACGATGGGATACAAAAGGCTCTGAAATATCAATTTTTATAGTTTTGTTGAAAACTTGTTTAGTGGAAAATCTTTAAAAAAGTAAGACAACAAAAAAAAATAACGTTAGACCAATTATTTCTCAACACTCAACCGATTTTCAGAATTTTTTATTTCAAAAAAAGCTAGAAACAGCCATTTGACGTAAAAATTTAAAAAAAATGGACATAAATTCTTTAAATTTACTAGCTTCATTCCGAAATTGAGTCAATAGAAAAGAAAAGAAAGAAATTTTTCAAAAATTGAAATCGCAACATTTTCAAATATGGACATGCTTACCAGCATCTTCGTTGAGCAATTCATGTTGTTTGAGGATGTCGTTTTCGCATGGAACAAATGCTTTTCCGCAAGGGATATTCGATGCATTCGTGGCACTGCCGGCAAATACTAATAGATAGAACAGAACTCGTAGCCACATCGCTTCAATCGTCGAAACCGAAACTACAGGACATAAAAAATGTGTGTGTGTGTGTGCGCACGTAATAAGCGAGAAGCCGGGCTGGATTCGAAACGAAGCGACTGTCTGCTGGTACGGATTGAGTCGAGTGGACACCGACTGGAGGGGCGTGACATTTATTGCATAACACGACGGTGACCACACTACCTCAACTTCATCTTCAATTTCTCCTCTCATCGTTGACGTTTATCTGCTGCTAGCAAAGGCCATCGAACCGGCTTTCAGAGTGAATCAGTCCGTATTTGAATGCCTCAAAATGTGACTCGCATTTCTCCGACGTCGTCGTTGATCGTTCAAAGACTGATTGTCTAATTTAAGATAAGATAAACGAGCAAAAAAAATAACAACTGGGATATGAAAAAATAGGCGGAAATAACGAAAATGAAGTGATCTCGTCATAATGGTGCTAATGATGAGGCATGCTTAAAACAAAACAAATAATGCGCTTCTGAAGACAAACAACGACATTCACGAATATGAGAATTCGTAATATTTTATGGACACGAATCAATAGAATATTGCTCTGTTTATATGTTTACTATCACTATTATTAGACTACATTCTATTATTGGAAATTCGCTAGAATGGAAAAATGAATTTTAAAAAAAACCGTTTGAAAACGACAGAAACTAAATATAATTTTTTCATTTTTTTGACACAATCAATTCGAAAATTGTCAATTCATTCCGAATAATCCATTTTTGTCGTTATTACAATTATTCCAATAACAATTAATTGCGATGAACTGAATTTGGTATTAGGAATGTGAAAGGTTTTATGAAAATCATATAGTTTATGTGTGAAGCAAACTAGAATCGGCCGCCACGAGACCCATCTTCAATAATTGCATAAATACGTTTTCAATTACCGTATTTTCAATTGTTATTAAATAATTAAATTAAAAATTCTGCTTTTTTGTAATTTTCATATATTTTAATTTAATAGTAAGTGCATAAAGATTTGAGAAAAAAATTTTTATCACAAAACTAAAAAAAAACAGACATTGATTTTTTTCAGCAAAAAGGCTATTCAAATTTTTTCGTAGAGTATTCATATTTTTTTTAAAACTATTCAATTATAAAAAAATAATAATTTCAGAGTGGAATAGAAGCTCGAATTATCAAGATTTTGTTCATAATTTTCATTGCTTCGTCAAGATTTTCGCTAAAAATGTAAAACACGGATTCCTCTGTTCGATTGGAAAATCAACTTTCTCAAATACAGGGTGTCATTTAAGTTCCCGCACAAAAGTTTGACGCCATGAAGAGCTTGGCTGATGCACTTTTCGTGCACCAATACAACTTATTTTTGTTAAATAAGGTATATTTTACTTACTTTCCAAGTTTCACCTCATTCGGATGTGTTTCCGAGAAATGACGAAGGCTAACATCCATCGCGCTTCCATTATCGAACTTCATAAGCAAAATGTGAGCCCGAGAGACATCATTCAACGGGTCGGTGTGCCTCGTAGAACGGTTTACGACACCATCAAACGTTTCAAGGAGCTAAATACGACCAGTGACCTTCCCAGACAAGGAAGACTCGTCTCAGTAACCACTCCTCAGAAGATCAACGCCGTCAAATCGAGGATCAGGCGAAACCCCCACAGGAGCATGAGAAAGATGGCGTCAGACATGGGAATGAGCATCTTCGCTATGGAACAAATCGTCAAAACGAAGCTTGTACTGACTCCATATCGTGTCCAAAAAGCGGCAATTCTATCGGCCGTCAACAAGCAGAGACGCGTCGAAAAAGCAAAACGACTTCTTGCTCGCACGCGGTCTGGAGAACACCTCGTCACTGTCTTCTCCGACGAGAAGCTGTTCACTGTGGAGACGGCATTCTACTCACAAAATCATTGAGTACTTGCCCAGACATCCCAGCAAGCTTCTGAGAAAGGAAGAACAATTCATCCAGCCTCACATCCTGCCAGTGTGATGGTTTTCGGTGCCATCTGCTCAACAGGGAAGTGCCCCCTGGTTTTCGTGGATCAGGGGGGTGAAAGTGAACAAAGAAGTCTACGTTCGGGACATTTTGGAGAAGCATGTGATGCCCTGGACCCAAACGCATTTCGGTGGGCAAAAATGGGTCTTTCAGCGGGACGGAGCACTCGCCCACACTGCCAAAACTACTGAGGAGTGGTGTCAGACCCATTTTCCCGACTTCATCAAGTCATCCGAATAGCCTGATTGCTCCCCAGACCTGAACCCGCTTGACTTTTCCGTGATGGGGTCTTGCAGGAGAAGGTCAACGCAAAAGCCCACTAAAATGTAGAGACTCTGAAGAAGACATTACTGGCGGAATGGGACAATCTTTCCATCGAATACCTGCGTACCACAGTCGAATCCTACCCAAAGCGTCTTCGTGAAGTCATAGCTGCGAAAGGAGGCCGAATCGAAAAGAGTTAATAGATAAATATTTGTTATACTATAGATAAAAAATATTTCGAGTCTCGTTTGATTTGGACTTTTAGTTTCAGAAATATACGTCTTCAAAGTTGTGCGGGAACTTAAATGACACCCTGTATAACTTTCACTATTTCTTCGGGTTTTATCCCCTTATCTATTTAAACCGGTTGTCTTTGTTTTTCCTTTATTTTTTCACTTTTTTCTTCATCTTCACTGAATGACACTTGAATTAGCGTAACTTGTAACACATGGATTTATTGGAATTAAACACGAATGAACAATATTATAAGTTACGGAGCACAGTAAACCCGCCAAACAAAAATAATGGATTTTCAGAAATAAAATTGATTGTATATCACAAAATATTTAGCGAAATAAAACCCGTTCGAATTAAAATTATTATGAGAATTAATATATGCTACGTCTGTCGGAAAATTAAAATTTCTCGTCGATGTCGAGGCTTTTTAGGTGTTGGAATTATTCCAGAAAACGAGTCAAATTCTAGTCGAACCTCGTTCATTGTGTCTATACAAGAACAACGACCTGAAATTTTTTTTTAAATTGAAAACTGTATATGGGCACACATTATTTCATTTATTATGGAAATGACCGTGAAACGAACAAAATTGAGTTTTTTGTGTTCATTTTAATTTCTTTTACTAACAGGTCGAAAAAATACAAAGAAATTGTAATCGACTTCCCCTGATTTTATTTTCATGTAAACTTTAGAGGGAAAAAATATTTAAAAAAAAAACTATTCAAAAAGTATCATTTTTTCTTCACAGAATTTGCATAGAAAACATTGAAATGAAAAAAAAATCTCTTGATATACTTTAGATAAACTGAAACTATTTTAATTCCTGCAGGTTTAAGATTTTTTGAATTCAATTAATTTGAATTTGATAGATATCTGTATTTAAAAATCCGCATTTAATTGCATTTTTTGATTATATTTAAATGGCCGACCTAATCTTGATGTTTCTTCCTCTTCATCCTCGTCGTCTTCATTTCCTTCGTCATAATCTTGTTTTTCGATGCTTCCATTCAACGGATTCGGCGTCCAACTGTAATAGTTGGCGACCACATTTGCGCATATTTGTTTGCATTCATCACCATCTGGAACATTTTCAGCGACTACCAACACTGGACCCGATATCACATGATCATGCATTCGATGCCGAACGTCGTCTTCTAAAACAGTAACCAATTGTTGAAGCCATCAAAATTCAGGATTCACCGTCATCCAAACAGAAACCGACAAGAGTATTCGGCTTGGCAACGAGTTCCCCAGAAACTGAGCGAGACTTCAAGAAGCAGACATTCTCCTTCTTATTCCATTCATAGGCAAGACAGGAGACATCGTCTCGACATTCAAGAGCACAGCTAAAAAAAATGTTTTTTTTTTTTTGGTATTTTTTCTCGTAAGATCCAACCTTCGCATATCGGCATTCAATAATCTCCTATAGTCGCCACCTTCGATGCTGAGACCCATTTTAGCGGTGAAACATTTTCCTGAATATATAAAATAATGTATAAATATAGTAAAACCGTTCGCCCAAAAATAGTTTGTTATGATTACTTATGAATTGAATGACGCAAATGACGGCACTCATTGTATGAATTAATAATAGAGTTCTGTTTCGACAATTTGTTATTCTTCCTCGTGCTCAAATTGCCATTGGATTTATTCATTGAGGTGGCCAATAAACGAATAACTCAACTAGAAAATTTGTAATCGCGTGGGATGAACGTGTTCTGCGAATTTTGAGAGTATTCGTCGTCATTGTTTTAAAAACTGAATTGTTTTAAACCCCTGCTCGAATCGAAAAACTCGTATTAGTGGGTCTTGTGATTTCAAATCATCACTATCTAATATAGCAAAACTAAATCAATTTTAATCAATTTGAAAATTTTCATTATTTAACCAAATCAGACTTGTCAAATTGAGCCGTCCAATTTTTTTAATAAACAAAAAATCCGGTCAAATATCCGAGGATGAAGATTTTATAAAACCAGGTCGGGCGTTCAGATTTCGGCGCGGCCGCGAAATTGAAAAGCCTTTTTGTACATCAGGTAGCTTTTAATACTTAACGGCCCGAGTGAATAAATAGTGAGTGTTCTTCAAAATTATTAAATCTATCATTTGTGACAATATTTCATCGAAATAATCTCGAAAAGTGAATTTTTTCTCGATTTCTGCAATGGAGTAGTCTTATTAGACTTCTTAACATAAAATTACCAACATTTGCAACTGATTTTAAATATTATTAAAATATTTTTGTCGCAAAAAATCACTCACCCTGAGTATTTGTGGACCCCATATTTTTCGGACCAGAATTCAAATTTAAATTTTAAAATTAGGATTCTGTAAAAATCTTAAAGTGGCAATAATCAAAAATGTAGTTTAGTTCGGATTTTTTTCGGAAATATTCAAATTTCGATTTAAACAGTTAGAATTTGTGTATCGTGGTACGTAAAATCTGTACATTACGGAAACCTATAAATTACAGTAACTAGAATGCTCTTTTTTTGCATTTTTGCGATGGTAAGACTGCGGAAAATTGGCAAATTGCCAAAAAACAATGTCAGCGGTCTTGCAGATTAAAAAAAACGAGAACCTTGAACAATTGTGGACTATCGTATTTTTCGGGGCGGAAATTCGAATTTGAATTAAACAGTGGGATTTCGGATACGATACTACGGAATAACTGTAAATCAGCCTTGTAAGAAATGTCAAAACTCAATACCTGCACAGGAAGCCATTGAAATATAAATAGCAACGAGGAAAAAAATGAGCTGCGACTTGTTCGCCACTCGCCACACGTCAAAGGTTACTGTAGCTATTGTGAATTCGTCTTCGATATCGGAATATGACGTGGAAGGATTTGGCTCGTGTAGTCGGATCATCAAAATCAACAAGTAACACTGGATGGATGAGGCGTACAAGTGCAATGCTTCTTAAAATGGGCGGAGCCAGTGGCGGCTGGTTTCCAAAAATGAATCTGCATTTCCGCGCTCATTACTTCCTCGTCGGCTTCGACTTTTTTGTGTTCGTATTCAGAAAGGACAAACATGAGAAGACGACATAAATGGGCGTGGCTTATGTTACGAGACCTTTGAGAATTGCAGTATGAGCAATGATCACAACTGATAGCTATTTTGGACCAATTTTTTGAAATATGAAAAGGATGTTCAGCAATCTGATTTCACCTCAATTCTGATTTATCTCTTAATGATTTTTATTATATTTTTTTCAATGATCGAACGAAAAGAGACTAATTTTTTTTATTCAATTCCTTCAGTTGCACATATTTAAATGACGATTTCCTATATATAATCACACCTTTCCCGATTTGAGCGTAAAACATGATATTCACTTAAATTGTCAAATTTTGTACGTAGTCTCACATTTTGGCCATGTTATTTTCAATAGTTTCAATCCGATTTCATCCACCTCAAAAATTTTACGTCAAACAAAATGCTTGATTCATCAATAATTTTTGATTCAGGAAGTGAAGCAAAAAAACAGCATGAAATATCAGAATGAAATTTGAAACTAAAAATCACATCCTGGATTCTTCGAATAAATGATCAACTAATCACGAACCAACGTCGATGCTGATTAATTGAAAATGCTTGGAAAATGTTCAAATTATTAATGAATCATTATCATCAAAAATTCTGAAACCAACACTCAGAAAAACATTGGGTTTTGTGCGATTTTTGACCTCTAATGTTCAACTTTCTCAGTGTGATTTTTCTCATTTAAACTTTGCTGATATCTCGCCATTAAATATTCATTACTCATTTCGTCAAAATTCTGACGTCCCAATAACTATTTTTTTTAGTAACCTTTTAAATCGAAAAATTCTGGTGTTGACCAGTAATTGAAACAAAAGGGCAACGTCATAAGAAAAAAAAAACATGTAAGTCTGCTTCCAGAATATAATTAGATTATCGTAAATATGCGTTATTAATAGCCGGATGAGAATCGAAAAAGGACATAAATGTGGAAACTGTGGAGCATCGTTGACACTAAGTTGTCGAGAAAGACTCAAAATAATATAAAACAAATTTGCATGTTTTCGCCGACGATGCCAAACCCAAATTTGGGCATATCAAGATTGTCGAGAACAAATAGGAAGTCGTCACACGTTCGTACGCCTATTCAACGGAAATCGAGCAGCGGCGAAAATCTGCAAAGTGGCAGTATAAATATATCAATATTATAAGAAAGGTTGGCACAGGTGAATGGAAACTACGAAAGACAAATCTGCCGAATAATTCATGCAATTTTTCATTTTTTTGACACTTCTAAATGACTATGTCGAATTGTTTAACGAAGAGTCTAATCTGGTAATATATATGGATCAGAGATGCGCGGGAAACATCCATCGGAAATTTTTCCCAGTTTTTTTTTAGTTTCTAGCCGCAACTATGATGAAAAACCCCATCAACCGGAATCGATGTATTGAATAATCGAACAAACACCAACCATTAATTGAAAACTTGATTCATTGTTGAATATTTTAGGGTTTCGCACATGTCAATTTAAACATCTACAGTAATCTTTGATTGTCAAATTTATCATTTCCAGGGAATTTTTCGGGATATTTCTTGGAAATTGTAAAAACACCTATTCTGGCAGCCATTTTTTTAAAAGAAATAAACGATAAGACCATTGTTTTTTTTTCGGCCAAATAATTCATATTTCAATTTTTAACAGCGGGAGATAAATTAGATGGAAGTGGGGGGGGGGAGGGGGTGGATCTCATTCATTTTTTTTGTGATTGTAACAATTAAATGATTAACTTCTCTCCGATTAATAGGCGATTCCGTATGATCAGAAAGTGGCAATCCGAATGTTTATTTATGAGGAAGTTTCGTGTAATTCCGCTTCCTCAAATCCTGGTGGAATGGTGTTTGAAGAGTTCGAGCATTGAGGGGGTGGAATTTGGCGCACGCTTCACTGAATCCTAAATGTCAGCGTTGTGATGAATCAGATGTTTCAACTTTGAACTTGGCAATCAAAACAAGAAGTGCTTGCTTCTGAGGAATTCTTAATCACAAGATGATATAAATAGAATTCTTATACTTTTGGAGGTATCGTTGCAATGAGTTATCGGATCACAAATTACCGTAGAGTTTTTACGCTTCACTGCGAAAAATTGAATCAGAATTTTTTTTTCTCAAATTTTCTGAATCGGAACACTAGAAAATGATTCAAGCGGTTTCTTCGGAATAGCCATTGAATCCCTTCTTTGGCAATTCGTTTTATCCACTTGTTATGTCTTGTGCGATGTGACGCCTTGAACGCAACGCGACGAGATGTCAAAAGAGAAAAAAATGTCGATGATGATGATGTTGTAAGCAAACAATAAACCATTTAAGCCTAATCAGTGGTGGAACGCGGCGGCCGCACGGAGTGTCAGATTAAAATGATTAATTGGCGATTGAAAGTGGTAACAACACAGTAATCCAGTCCTTCACAACCCAGTTCCCGGGAACAAGCTGCTAACAGACCGTGCAAGCTGAACGGCTAAACCAGCTCGAAATGATACATTACCGTATTCGTCGTATAAAGACGCCCCAATATTGTGTCTTTATACATTTAATCCCCCGCTTACGCATGTTTGTTCATTTTCGATGTTTTTTTTTAAACCACAATATCATTATCGATTATTAATATTCAATGAATAGAACCAATTCCAGATGACGTGGAAAGTCATTATTGCATTGACCTTATTTGGCTCGATAAATGCAATTCCAGTCGATAATAATGTTGAGGGAGAACCTGAAGTCGAATGTGGTCCAAATTCTATCACAGGTTTAACATTTCAAATATTTTCGGAAAATTTCCTCAAGGGTATTCTAAAACGAACAGAAAGAAGTCTAAGAAGCTCATTGAAGAAAAATATGAAATAGGGTTAGAAGATATAAATCTAATGGTCCGATTATCTTATCTTATGATATTTATGAAAAATTATCAAACATAGCAGTTTGTTAATGTAATTCGCATATTTAGTCAACTTCAACACCCGCAATCCATTCGAAGGACATGTCTACGTGAAGGGTCTCTATGATCAAACTGGATGTCGATCGGACGAGGGAGGCCGTCAAGTCGCCGGAATCGAGCTTCCGTTCGATTCATGTAATACAGCGCGTACAAGATCATTGAACCCGAAGGGAGTGTTCGTCTCGACGACCGTTGTCATCTCATTCCATCCACAATTCGTCACCAAAGTCGATCGGTATGTGAATTATTGAATAATCAAGAAAGTATATCAAATAGACGGAACGAAAAATTCATCATTGTGGGTGTGTGTGTTTTTTATATCTATGCGAAAAACAAATAGATGTCCACGTCGCTGAATAATTAAAGAAATTGTGTGTGCGGTTGTCGGAAACGTCGTCGGCAAAAAAAATCGCGTCATTTTTTGTTCAGCAACGCGTGAGTGCACAAGAATTAACGCGCGACAATTGATTTGTTTCGTAATTGTGCTGAATGGATCGTCTTCCTCCACCTACACTCCCCCCAAAATTTTCGAAACAAATATGAAAAGAAACCATGAAAATTGAAGACTTCATCAGGGAATAACCAAAAAAAAAATTAATACCATAGAAAATCTTGAATCTAAACATGTTTCAGCGCTTACCGAATTCAATGCTTCTACATGGAATCCGACAAAACAGTTTCTACACAGATCGAGGTCTCCGATCTTACAACAGCGTTCCAAACACAAGTTGTCCCAATGCCGGTTTGCAAATACGAGATCCTTGATGGCGGACCATCCGGACAGCCCATCCAGTTCGCTACCATCGGACAACAGGTTTATCACAAATGGACGTGCGATTCGGAAACCACCGACACTTTCTGCGCTGTTGTTCACTCGTGCACTGTTGATGATGGTAACGGCGATACTGTGCAGATTCTCAACGAGGAAGGATGTGCCCTCGATAAGTTCTTGCTCAACAATCTCGAGTATCCGACAGATTTGATGGCAGGACAAGAGGCTCACGTTTACAAGCACGCCGACAGATCCCAGTTGTTCTATCAATGCCAGATCTCGATCACCATCAATGATCCGGGAAGTGAATGCTTGCTGCAGCCGCTCCCACTGAAAGAGCAAACCTTGCTCAGTTGAGATTGCTGAGAAGATAGCGAGAGATGGCCGAAAACGAGGGAATCCTTGATGTCCGGGTTGAACTCAACACTTTGGACATTCTCGAGGTTAGACATTTTCAATTCTCTATAATCTTTCATTGAATTGAATTCAGGGGGCAAATCCATCTACTCCGATCGCTTCTGCACTTTCGGGAAGCGATGAGATTCAACAGCGAGTCTCTTCGGGCATCTGCCTCTCACCTTTCGGATTCGCTTCGTTCCTCGGAAATCGGAACCGTTGTCGCCACTTCCTTGTCGGCTTCAGTATTCTACATGGTACGACCGACTTCTCACAAGCACTAATTTATCATTTTCTTTCGCAATTTATCTATCTTTTATTTATTTATTTATTTATTTATTTATTTATTCAACAATTAATCTAATTCGAAACATTTTTCAAGCAACACGAAATGAACACGAAATCAGTTGTGCAATCCATCAAGTCGACACGCAAAATCGCTTTATAACATTTTTCTTAATTTTCTTTCTCTTCTTCTTTTCATTTTCACATTTCTCTCATTTTCTCTCATTTTCGGTTTCAAATAACTAACTGGTATTTGTAATTTGTATAGAATTTTTTGCATAAGCTGGTTGTGATCGGTTTGAAATTCGCAAAGACGAACTTTATTATTTCTGTTGTGATGGAGAGTTTCGAATAAAGAAAGTTTATTAGAAGAATGCACAACTGGTTTCAGCTCAAGTTTCGGCATTTTCCGAATCCGAATTCCGAAATTCAAGAAATTCTTCCTTTCGTCTCGACGACCGTTGTCATCTCATTCCATCCACAATTCGTCACCAAAGTCGATCGGTATGTGAATTATTGAATAATCAAGAAAGTATATCAAATAGACGGAACGAAAAATTCATCATTGTGGGTGTGTGTGTTTTTTATATCTATGCGAAAAACAAATAGATGTCCACGTCGCTGAATAATTAAAGAAATTGTGTGTGCGTTTGTCGGAAACGTCGTCGGCAAAAAAATCGCGTCATTTTTTGTTCAGCAACGCGTGAGTGCACAAGAATTAACGCGCGACAATTGATTTGTTTCGTAATTGTGCTGAATGGATCGTCTTCCTCCACCTACACTCCCCCCAAAATTTTCGAAACAAATATGAAAAGAAACCATGAAAATTGAAGACTTCATCAGTCCATGCACTTTTAGGAATAACCAAAAAAACAAAAAAATAATACCATCGAAAATCTTGAATCTAAACATGTTTCAGCGCCTACCGAATTCAATGCTTCTACATGGAATCCGACAAAACAGTTTCTACACAGATCGAGGTCTCCGATCTTACAACAGCGTTCCAAACACAAGTTGTCCCAATGCCGGTTTGCAAATACGAGATCCTTGATGGCGGACCATCCGGACAGCCCATCCAGTTCGCTACCATCGGACAACAGGTTTATCACAAATGGACGTGCGATTCGGAATCCACCGACACTTTCTGCGCTGTTGTTCACTCGTGCACTGTTGATGATGGTAACGGCGATACTGTGCAGATTCTCAACGAGGAAGGATGTGCCCTCGATAAGTTCTTGCTCAACAATCTCGAGTATCCGACAGATTTGATGGCAGGACAAGAGGCTCACGTTTACAAGCACGCCGACAAATCCCAGTTGTTCTATCAATGCCAGATCTCGATCACCATCAAAGATCCGGGAAGTGAATGCTTGCTGCAGCCGCTCCCACTGAAAGAGCAAACCTTGCTCAGTTGAGATTGCTGAGAAGATAGCGAGAGATGGCCGAAAACGAGGGAATCCTTGATGTCCGGGTTGAACTCAACACTTTGGACATTCTCGAGGTTAGACATTTTCAATTCTCTATAATCTTTCATTGAATTGAATTCAGGGGGCAAATCCATCTACTCCGATCGCTTCTGCACTTTCGGGAAGCGATGAGATTCAACAGCGAGTCTCTTCGGGCATCTGCCTCTCACCTTTCGGATTCGCTTCGTTCCTCGGAATCGGAACCGTCGTCGCCACTTCCTTGTCGGCTTCAGTATTCTACATGGTACGACCGACTTCTCACAAGCACTAATTTATCATTTTCTTTCGCAATTTATCTATCTTTTATTTATTTATTTATTTATTTATTTATTTATTCAACAATTAATCTAATTCGAAACATTTTTCAAGCAACACGAAATGAACACGAAATCAGTTGTGCAATCCATCAAGTCGACACGCAAAATCGCTTTATAACATTTTTCTTAATTTTCTTTCTCTTCTTCTTTTCATTTTCACATTTCTCTCATTTTCTCTCATTTTCGGTTTCAAATAACTAACTGGTATTTGTAATTTGTATAGAATTTTTTGCATAAGCTGGTTGTGATCGGTTTGATATTCGCAAAGACGAACTTTATTATTTCTGTTGTGATGGAGAGTTTCGAATAAAGAAAGTTTATTAGAAGAATGCACAACTGGTTTCAGTTCAAGTTTCGGCATTTTCCGAATCCGAATTCCGAAATTCAAGAAATTCTTCCTTTTTAACTTCACTACAATGATCACGCTAGATGTAATCCAAATTCATCTTATCTTGTGGGAATATTATAAAGAAGTTAGCGTTTTCTCTAATTGTATTCTTTAGAAGCTTTATATAATTCTGAGAAATGTAAAAACTATCCACTTCGGAGTGTCTTCCTCGAGTATAATATTGTTCTATTTTATTTTGTTTTTCTAATAAAAGATCATCAAAAATTATTAGAGTCTTCTTATTTTCATCTAAAGATGAAGGATCTGGAATATCTTCTATTTTGTCACTATAACGGACATCAATAACTCTTTGAAACCCTGGGTATTTTTCTTCATCATGAGAAGAAATTTCAATTATGAAGTCATGCTTTTCAAAACACCTCCTAATTTCTTTTTTACTTAATCCATTTTCGAAACCATTAATTGATAACAAGGTTGAAATAAAGTACTAGAGAAAATATAAAGATTATTATAATCAAGGTATTCTTCTCCTTTACCATTAGGTGAATCCAAAAGCAAATTCATAAGTAAATTAGTTTTTCCACATCCACTCTTTCCAATAATACATCCTCTTATACTTTGGGGGAGTAAATACTATTATTTCTTTCTGGGTAATAATTTTTGACACTATAATCATTGAAGTCACTTTTCAAAGTCATTGTGTGTAAGAAGTTTAAGATATATTTATTTATAAATATTTTCTTTAATAAAAGAAGAAATGACAACGTTGTTTTTAAACATTCATAGAACTAATGAAAAGACATTTCAATTCGAATTTCCAAGTAATACAATAAATGAGCTTGCAGTAGTCAAAGTTGATGGTATTCTTCAGTTAGGTGAAGGTAATAAAAATCTAGATTTTGTCTATCTATCTTGTAATCTAGTTTGTGATACTTTTATCAATGAAAGAAAAAGCAATATCATTTATAAATTTCCCATCGAAAAAGGAAATGAAAAAATAAAAAATGAACCAGTTAATCCAATTTATCACAAACTTATGGATAGACCAAATGTTCTAACTCTCAAGCTTGTTGATTCATTGAATAATCCTATTGATTTTAATAGATGTGATCTTCATATAGAATTACACTTGAAAACATCGTAAGCAGGTAATCAGCATAACTTGGAACCAGGGTTGTCAAAACGGGCCCCCGGACAGGCCCTGGGCCCTATAGGGCCGGGCCCAGGGCCGGGCCGGGGCCCTGTTTTTTTAAACCCTAACAAGAGAATTTTCATTTTAAACTTCTGCGGACATTTTTCAGTTTGTTATTATTGAATTATTTTTCGAATACAAAACAGATAGATTTATTGTTTGAAATTTACATGTTTTATATCTAAAAAATTTATTGTAATAGAAAACAAATTAAATATTCAAGTTGGTTTTCGCCTGGATTTCACTGGACAATGAGCTTTTCAGCGTATGCAAACGACATTCGTCTACGATTATTAGAAAAAATGAACTTAACGTGACTTAATTGTCTCTCAACCGCAGCTTCAGAGGTTGCACACGAAAAGATTTTCCGGGCAACGCGGTACAAATTGGGAAAAACAGACCTATTCATAGGCCAATAGATTTCGGGGGAATTCGTATTCTGGTCGATTTTATAACGATTAATCTCGTCATTTATGGTGCAACTCGTTGGTGCAATAGCGGGGATGATTTTTCGTAATATGGATGGAAGCGGAATTATTGGTTTCTTCTTATCTTGTTGCCGCATCTCTTTGATGTTGAAGCAGTCGTTATGAACATTGGTGATATATTCCGCTGCATCTTCATAGAGATCAAATGGCAGCTGAATAATTCAATTATTAAAATTATCAATAAGTTATCTACCGAATGCTTGACGCAGAGGTCTTGTAAAACCGTCAAATCCTTCGTAACTGGATTTAAAAACGTAGCCGCTGCGTGGATTTTGCCGTACGCTGTTACATTTTCTTTTAATGCTAAATACGCAGACCTGCTTAATGTCCGCAATGCCTTAAATGAAAGTTCATTTTAAAATTATTTTTGTATTATACTTCATAAGTCTCCATACTGTTCATCAATTCTTCATAGTGCACGAGAAGACCAATATAATATGGAAGCGCGAAGTGCATTTGAACGCTTTCGTTCTAAGACTTTAATTATAAATTGAATGAAATTAAGTTTTCACTTGATTTTCAACACACATATCTTTTAATGGATTTAACGTTTCAATGATATCTTTCATGAGACCGCGATTTTCCACTTCATTTAGTTCATAAACGCCACTTTTAATATCTTCGGGAAACAATTCAACATTTCCAATCAGTAGATTGATATGAGACGAAAACCAAACTAGCATATCATATGTCGAGAGCCATCGGGTGGAAGAAATTGTCGGTGGCGACAATTTCAGTGTTCCCAATGTCTAGAAACAATATTATATTTAATAAAATGTTAATTTTATATTTAATACTCACGCATTTAATTTTTGTCATTTTCGATGATAAGTTTTGGATAAAATCAATGAGATTTCAGCTTTGAACAATATTTCCATTTGATTTGCGCTCAAGTCCTGTTTTCTAATCGTGGTTTTGTATGGGTGAATGGTATGAACAGATACAAGGTTCGCTAAGTGCGACAAACAACGAACATCTGAAATTTTATTGAAATTTCGGTTTCGAAAAAAAATTTTACAAGAAAACAATGATTTTCCTACTGAAATCATATTCGAGGCACCGTCTGCAACTAAAATCGCCTTTTCAACAAACTTCGATTCCCATCCAAAATCTTCGAATATCTCCCGAATTATTTTTATAATCTGCAACATTGACTTCAACGCACGCGTAGGGGCCAGAAGTAATGAGAATGAGCGGTTCATCGGAGTCAATTCGATGGAACCGCGCAATGACGCTGGTGAACTCCTCGCAACCTTCTGTGAAACAAACCGCTTATGGCATACAAACTCGCTTTTCCAAAAGCCAGCCCATAAGCGCTGGACTTTCATAAGTCCAGATGGCCTTTTCAAGCACGAAATCGATCACATCCTCGCCAACAGGAGGTTTGTAACAGATACTTCGGTGCTGCCATCATTCACAGTAGGAAGCGACCATCGCCTTCTCCGTGCGAACATCCACTTCAACATAAATTGGCTGAAGTACGATAAAAGCAGAAAGAGAAAGGCGCCAAAGAAAGTATTGGACCCGGAGATGGCTAAAACAATATGCTCGATTGTTAGTCTTCCAGTAGCCAACAGCGTTGACGAAGATTACTTTAATCTAACAACGCTACTCAGGAAACTACAAGGCCAAGCCATTGTTAAACCATCAAACCACCGGACCAATAGGATCTCTGTCGAAACACAACAATTGCTCTCGCGTAGACGAAACATGAGCAGGTCCGATCCCAATTTCAAGAACCTCTCAAAACAGTGCCGAGAAGCAATCGAAAGAGATCACAAGGAGTTCACCAATTCCCGGTTACTAGGAGCAGCCGATCAACGCAAAAGCTTGAAGAGAGTAGCGCGAGACATGAACGAATACAAGTCACTGATTCCATGCCTCAAATGGTCTACTACAGGCAGAACTCTCACCTCTAGAACAGAAATGGAGAAGGAAGTGGAATCGTTCTACACGAAGCTCTTTGCGAGTAGAGCCCCACAAGTGCCTACGCCTACGACAACGCAAGTCAAGGATAGGCCCCTTCCAGACTTCCTCAAATGCTGCCACGAAAACACTATCGCGCTGATAACGGACCGATTTAACCGCTACCTAGAAACCGGATCAATACCGAGACTGTGGACCAAGTCAGAGACAACTATCATCTTCAAGAAAGGTGATAGATACTCCCTGGAGAACTACAGGCCAATCACGGTACTCCCTGTTCTATACAAGGCTTTCACAAAATGCATCTTGAATAGAATCAGGAGTAAACTAGAAGCCAATCAACCTGTAGAACAAGCTGGGTTCCGCAAGGGCTTCTCAACAGTGGATCACATCCACTCTGTCCAAAGACTGCTAGAAGTGGGACGAGAATATCAAATCCCACTCACACTTGTCTTCGTTGATTTCAAGAAGGCGTTCGACAGTGTTGAGCATTCAGCAGTGTGGCAGAGCCTAAGAGACCAAGGCGTTGAAGAAACGTATATCCAGCTACTCCAAAGTTGTTACTCTGACTGTTCCACAAGCATCACGCCATTCCATCGACTGGTAGAGATACCTGTTCGAAGAGGAGTAAGGCAAGGTGACCCAATCTCGCCGAACCTTTTCTCCGCGTGCCTGGAGCAAGTTTTCCGTGGATTGTCTTGGAGTCAATTCAAAAACGACTCAGAAGACAATACGAACACTCCAGGATTACGAGTGAATGGCCGCAACCTCACACACCTGCGGTTTGCAGACGACGTCGTGCTCATAGCGCACAGTCCGCAAGCGGCATCCGAGATGTTAAGTGAGATGGTTGCGAGATGCGAACAAGTAGGGCTCCAGATTAACGCTGGAAAGACCAAAGTCCTACGTAACCCCTTCGCAGACTCCGCCAAGGTTACGCTAACGCGCCAGAATTCGATCAGTATCATTGACGATGTTGACGAATACGTGTACCTTGGA